CGTTCAAGGATTTGCTGACGTAAAGAACAGGGCTCTGATCGCCGCGATCGTTTCGGACTAAGACGCTGCTTACTGCTGTGCTAGAGACCGAAACGTAGAGGTATAAGACATCGCCGTTCTCGGGTTTGACTAGGATGGGGTGGCTGGTCAGATATGTCTTCAACTCTTGGAAAGCCGCTTCGCATCGCTCGTCCCAATGAAAATCTCGATTTCCTCGGAATAGTTGGTAGAAAGGAAGGCATCTGTCTGTCGATCTTGCGATGAAGCGATTGAGAGCTGCAATCCGACCTGTCAAACGTTGGACCTCGCGTTTGTTAGTTGGGGAAGGGAGCTCCAAAACCGCCGTTATCTGCTTTGGGTTGGCCTCGATCCCGCGTTCGGTCACGATGTACCCCAGAAACTCCCCGGATGTTAATCCAAATGTGCATTTAGTTGGGTTTAATTTCATCTGGTATTTGTCGAGGAGGTCGAAACATTCCGCGAGGTGATGGACGTGATCTTCTGCCGTTAACGACTTTACCAGCATGTCGTCAATATACACCTCCATTGTCCGTCCTACGAGATCGGCGAACATTCGGTTTACGAGGCGTTGATAGGTTGCTCCCGCATTTTTCAAACTGAAGGGCATGACTTTATAGCAATATGTCCCCCTATCCGTAATGAAGGACGTTTTCTCGCGGTCAGCGACGTGCATCATGATCTGGTTATAACCTGAGAAGGCGTCTATAAATGATAACAACTGATTCCCCGAAGTTGCTTCTATCAAGCGATCTATGTGTGGGAGCGGGAAAGAGTTCTTGGGACAGGCTTTGTTCAGGTCGGTAAAATCTACGCACGTTCTCCATTTACCGTTTTTCTTTTTGACGACAACCGGGTTCGCCAGCCACTCCGGGTATTGTACTTCCATGATAAGGTCCGCCTTTAACAGTCGTTGTACCTCGTCTTGAACTGCTTGAGCTCGTTCGTTGCCCAGCCTACGCCTTTTCTGGCGAACTGGTTTGAAAGTGGGATCCACGTTGAGTTTGTGACAAGCTATTTCAGGATCTACTCCGATCATATCCCTAGTTGACCATGCGAACGTGGACGATCTCGTTCTCAGGAAAGCTACCAGCTCCTGTTTGATCGGGTCGTCTAGCATGGCTCCAACGCCCACTGTGCGGGAGGGATCGGATTCGTCGATATTGACCTGGATAACCTGGCAGCTCGGAGATTGGAGGGATGCGCGCGCCGGTTTTCGGAGAACGTCGCTGCATTCTCCGCTCTGTAATTGCTATGCGAGGTCGTCCCTTCTCTGTTTCTTTTCGATGATGCAGCAGTTCCGCGACATTTTCTGGTCGCCGTACAAGATGTAGATTCCGGTTGCCGTAGGAAACTTCACGCACAGATGATAAACAGAAGGAATGGCTCTCATGGCATAAATCCAAGAGGAGCCGAGTATCGCATTATAGATCAGTGGGGCGTCAACTACCGTGAACTTAAGCTTTTTTGCCACTCCTCCAACCTTCACTTCGATTTTGATGTCCCCCATCGCGAGACGGGTCGTACCGTCGTAACCGGTTAGCGTTCGAGCTTTCGGTTTTATTTCGGATTCTGAGATCCCCATCTTGGCTAGGGTGCATAAGAATAGCACGTTGACGGTACTGCCGGTATCGACTAAAACGCGTTCCACATCGTAATTTCCCATGGTAACTTCCACGACTATAGAGTCGTTATGGGGGTGTTGTATTCCCTTGGCATCGTCGGAAGAGAATGTGATAAGTTCGCCAGCTGCCACTGAGTCTTCCGGTGCGACATGCAAGCTGCACACCTGTCTGGCTCTCTTTTTGAGTGCCCGGACCGAGTCGTTGCAGTCCTCAGGCGTCCCCAGTATCATGGTTATCCGTCCGCGAGCCGGTGAGCCAGCACGCTGCGGTCGTTGCCCTCTCTGTCTTTTCGGTGGTCCCGACAGTTCTCCCCCTTCATCGTTATGCCGATCGGGACTTCGCCTCTCATCAGACCGATCTCGCCGATCGGGACTTCGCCTCTCATCAGACCGATCTCGCCGATCGGGGCCGTCATCTCGGTATTGTCGTGTCTCCTGGCCTCGGCCTCGACCGCGCCCGCGCCTTCCGTCAGGTCGTTGTCCTCTGTATTCTTTGGGCTGGAATACCGCTTCTATTTCGCCGGACTTGTATTTATCGAGTAGATAGTTAGAGAGATGCTTGCACTCTTCGGTTGAATGTCCGGCGAACTTATGGAAAGTGCATTATGCTTCTTTGGACGACGTGTTTTGGTTACTGGCTTCTTTTGAGATCGCACTAATTGCGCCGCGCGAAGCGTCCTTTCCCTCATAGTGCTTACGTGGTTCCCGGTAGTCTTCACGTTTTCGGTCTCGGGGTGTAGGACGGTTTGCCCCAGACTTCGCCGCTAGTTTGGCATTTTCTTCTTCAAAAAGTGCGTATCTGGACGCACGATATAGCGCGTCGTCGAGATCTTTCGGCTCACGGATGGCCAAGTCTTTTTGCAGGGACGATCCTGGAACGAGCCCCTTGCGGAATGCGGCCAAAGCGGCATCCTCTGGGACTGATACTTTGGCCAGCAAATTCTTGAATCGCACCAAGTACTGCTGCAGAGTTTCGCCGACTTCCTGAGTTGTGTCCCAGAGATCGATGCTGGATGCTCCGGGTTGTATGAAATGTCGGTAATGCCGGAGGAAAGCTTCCCAACGTTGGGCGAAGTTATCGATCGAATTCGGGCTAATCCGAGAAAACCAGGTGAGTGCATTGCCGGTCAGACTTTCGACGAATAACTGGCAATGCCCTGTATCCTTCTCCTCGTCGGAGAAGTGTGCTTTTGTGACTGCGGCCATGAACGTCGTCATAAAGGTACGTGGATCCTTATCCCCGTCGTACGTCGGCAGCCTGAATTTGATATGCGGAATTCGGGCTTGAGTGATGCGGCTCGTGAAGGGAGTTCGCTGTGTCTCTTCGAACATACGGTCGATTTCAGGGGCCGAACTGGAGACCCGATGGACCTGAGAGTTTATGTCGGCTATCCTTGCGTACAGATCTTCCAGATCCCGATTTCGACCGGAGCTGGGCGCGTCCGCAGGTTGGCTGGACGCTGTTACCAATGCTCGGGGTCGAGTCCCGGTTGGCGTAGGTCTTACGCACGAGCGGCCAACTGGCACTGGAGGATGTACCGTGCATCCTCCGACCGGACCGGGGGCGAGGACGTCGAGACTTACGTCTTGCCCGTTAGATTCCGGCGTACGATTACGCATGATCGTATCCATCCGGTGGTCGGCTGCCGCGATTCGGTCGTAGATGTCTTTCGTCATGCTTCCGAACACTATGCGCAGGTCGTCCATGGATACGGTTTGCTGAACCGGTGGACCCGATGGAGCGACCTGAGCGAGTTGTGGCTCGTTCGTGGGCTGACCTTCGGACCTTCGAGGGGCGGTCGTATTGCCTTCCACTTCGCCAGTTTGAGGACGCTCGGTGGTTTCGACTGGTGCCGGGAGATTCATTTGACGGACTTCTTCCTCGATCCTTTCGTTGAAGGTCGAGTCGTTAGTAAGGGGCTCTTCGTCGGGCTCCTCGTTTGGACGTGAGTCAACAGGGCCGAGTTGCTGAGAGATCTCGAGGTGGATTGCTTCGTTAACCGAGTTGAGAGAAGTGTTACTTTTGAAAATGCTTTCTAGAAAGGAAAAAATTCCCCCCCTCCTTCTAGCGCCAATTGTTGAACCAAGGGTTCACACAATGAATTTATTAAGGAAAGGAGAATAAATTCACTTTTAACAATCTCTCAAGAACTCGAATTGAAACGGATTAAAAGGATTGACTTGACCTAGAAATGAACGATTTAGGGTTTGCTCAAGAACAAGTGAGGAACTAGGGTTTTTGTTATTAAATGATCGATGCCCTAGAATAGAGACATCTTCTCTATTTATACAAGGGATTTAGGGTTAAAATAAATGCTTCTCTTACTTAGATTTTCGGAAGATATTGTCATAAATATTCGATTTGGGTTTGCGAAACCCTAATGATCCGAGGTCGTGTATTCCATTTTAGGAATGAAGCACACTTTGCAATAATTGGACAATAAATCGGGATTCCCCGATTTATTGGTTTAATTCGATTCCGTATTGGTTTAGGCCGGTATGTCGTTGGTGCTAATTCCAACACCAACATTCAAGTAGAAGGAACGTCTAGGGAAATGGTTCTGTAGTGGATTCAAAAGTTTGTCTCGACATGGAAATAGAAAGCCAATATGCGTTTGCTAAAAAAGCTTGTAATCTTATTCCACACTGAATCGTTGAAAGACAAACACAAATCATTTTCCATGTAAAGTAACATGTCTGATGTCTCCCACATAGAGAACGACAATATCAATATATAGCTATCAAACGATATCCCACGAAAGAGAACGACTCTTAATTCTGTATGATGAGACAAGTATTGTTTTTGAAAATGATTGAGATTTCAAGTGCTTTGTTATCCGTAAGGAGACATACATTCCCTATATAAATCACGTATACGTAATCTTTAATGCGTACATTACATGCACCTCGTGAAATATCACACCCGTTTAAACTGTGTTGTGTGTTCGGATTTGAAATCACAAGTTGTACTTATTATTCTGAACGTAAAATATGTATTTTCGCTAAGTTGTCCTCTTTTCTACTGGATTGGTTGTTTCTAAATTACAAATTATTGTAGTAGTGAGAGGAAAGATTTGCACCCAAAAAAAAAAAAAAGAAAAAGAGAAGAAGGATAATGATTGATACGATATGAACAGAAAACATATATAGCAATAAGGAATAAGGACAAAAACAAAGTTAATTTGTTTATTTTTATGAAAAAGGAAATAGAACATAAATAGAACCAGAATGATTTTGTAAAAGAAAAACAAGAATTGAAAATGAAAAAGATAGATAAATGGTGTATTGATACAACCTTCTTGTATATTATTTTCTTTTAATAAAATAAGGGAAGAACGAAAGACAGATAGTCTAATAAAATGTTTATAATAAACATCAAAAACACGTATTTGATAGATTGAAAACACTCCCAGTTAATACTATATTTATTGATTACAACAACAAACATATATATATATATATATATATATATATATATATCGAATAAAGCTTGATATTGATCAATATAAAACAAAAGAAACATAATATCTTCGATGAATACACTACGTCTTCACAGAGTTAGACCACAGAGGGAATCTGATGAGGGTTTGATACAAGTTTGTTTAATTTTTCTGATTCGGTTCCATCAACGTTCACGACTAATGCCTTCAGATCATCGTCCGTGATTCTCTGAAAAAAGTTAAATCAATTGGAATTTAGTGGATGTAACGGCATTTCTAAAACTTTTTTTTTTTTAACAATTCTTTTTTTTTCTAAAATTTTATTTTTAAAAATACATTCGTATAATTTGTGTTAATATTTCATTTCAAAACATAAAATATTTGGAATATATCGCATATATATGTATATAAATGAAACACCTTTTTCTGCTTGGTTAAGTTTTTGAATCGTGAGAAGATGTCGTTTAATTTCTCATCGTTGATTTCGTATCCCAACTGAGAATATACAAAAACATATAAATATATATGAGTAATCAAATATTTAACTCCACAAAGTCTGATGATATCATTTTTATGATTCAAGATCAAGTTATTAGGGAATCACATGGGTACGTACCTCTTTCAGCCGGTCTTTTACAGCATGACGTCCACTGGCATATATTCATGCATTGATTGATATATGATGTTTAGTAAAATTAATTAAACAACGGTACGTACGTATAACTTTAATAGTAATCTAAAACTAAGAAACATCATCACTACTTACCTAAGCTTTCCAAGAACAAGTCCAGACTTTAAAGATTTTACGATCCCAATATCTTCTGGTGATAAGATCTCATATGTACTTCGATTTTTCAACATCCCATCCTGCAAAAATGTTTGAACAATCATTAAACATATAAATACTAGCAAATTATTTAGTCTCAATTCTTGATTTTATTATGACATGCATATATATACAAGTATCGGAACCTGGTGAATGCCGCTCTCATGAACAAAACAGTTGTCTCCAACTATGGGCTTATGTGGTTGAACATACATGCCGGTATGCTCTTGAACCTGCTCAACAATTTACATATATAATTTTAGTCAGTTATTATAAAGGCTAAAAATTAGTTAGTATCATTATTTCTTTATAGTAAAAGTTTACCATCTTGCTGGTAGCCATAATTTGGTGTGTGTTTATTTTTGTGTAGACACCATCCATCTGATATTCTCCTCGACATTTCAAAGCCATCACGACCTATACATACATAACAGTCTTTTCATAAAGAACATGAATCTTCTGTTTCTTTCTTTTTTGTCCACCTTTTAAAATACTTACTTACCTAAATTTGGTACGATTGTTATCTTTCAAAATTCTTGATGGGTCACAAGAAGCATGTGATTCAATTTCCTGTGTTTGTATAGTGTCTTATCCTTTCTTAATTTTCTTCAGCCTTTTTTTTTTTTCCTTTTAGTACTACAATATCCATTTTAAATGTCTTGTAATTACTAAAGGCTTTGTTACTGGTTCGTTATGGGCTTACGTAATAGTTTAGTTAAGTGTGTTATATTTGAACCTTTTTTGTCTTTTAAAAAAATCATATTATGTTTAAGGCCACGATTAAAAAAAAAAGTACTAATGATGATGACGACGATATTACCTCTTCAAGCGGTGCATTACCACTTCTTTCACCTATTCCGTTGATCGTTACTTCGATTTGTCTTGCGCCAGCACATATACCCTATTATGTATATATTGTAAAACTTATTGATCTTATCGTGAAAATTAATGACATGTCTGTGTGATCACCTCGACATTATTAATCTGTAAGGCGATTTGTTAGTCAATTTAACACAGAATAAAGGAGAGTAATTACGTACGGAGATTGTATTGGCGGTAGCAACACCAAGGTCGTTGTGGCAATGAATGGCGAAGACAACATTATCAGACCCAGGAGTGTTCGCTTTGACATAAGCCACGAGTTCTCCAAATTCTGGGGGCATGTTGATCCCGACCGTGTCCGCGAATCCCACCGTTGTTGCCCCCGCTTTAATCGATTCTCCTAGAATCTTACATAGAAAATCCTTATCCGACCTAAATGATCACACTATAGTATTTTAAAATCTATATATGACGTACATGATTAAATTTGTAAATTTCATAACCCAACAGCTCAAAACGTTATGATCTATATTGTTGCAGTTTACATGTAAAAATTTATTTTAGAAAGGAATTTACATTGAAAAATGAAAAAGAAAATAATATTTTTAAAAATGTTTGTTATAGTAAAAGATAAAAAAGTACGTAAAACAGAAACAATTTAAGGTTATAACTTATTAACAAAGACTTTGAAACAATCGAGATATATTAAGGTTGTATATAGATAGATATATGCACCTGCCACCATCTTCGCAGCCAATTTGGATGTCAGTGAAGCCCAAGCTTTTAGCGTACTTAATACTACTCACGGTTATCTCGATCAATTCCTCTTTAGTCTTTTTCAACTTATGTTTCATGTGGATGTCACTTGTAGATGTGAACAAGGTTACCCTCGGCCTCTTCGCGTACTTCACCGCCTCCCAAGCCGCATCGATGTCACCTTTTTTGCATCGTGCAAGGGCGGCTATCACCGGGACGTAACCGGTTTCCTCATCCACCTAAGCAAAGACAATAATATATTAGTTTATTTTCCTTGTATATCTTTATTAATAACTTATTTCTGATGTGAGTTCTTTAACACTTAACTAGTACACTAATTTTATCATTTGTCACAAAAGAATAATAAACTATATATATATATGTATAGCTTGATCATAAACCATTATATTATAATTTTATGTGAGGGAAATGAAGAAACGACCTCGTTCCCCACAGTCTTGGCGATAGTTTTAATGGTTTCGAACTCTTCTTCAGACGACACAGGAAAACCGACTTCCATGATATCTACTCGGAGTTTAACGAGCTGGCGGGCTATCTCTAGCTTTTGTGGTGGAGTAAGAGCTGCACCGGGAGATTGTTCACCGTCACGAAGCGTCGTGTCTAATATACGTACATAGTTCGTGTCCGGGAGCTTGTTCGGTATGTACTCAGGACACCGTTCCACGATGGATTTGAGGTCAGTTGCACTAGTGGCCGCCTTTTTGGACTCAGAGGAGTTACATAAAACGAACAATTTTGACTTGTTACATGGACGGGTCAGGCGGATAGAGGGCAGATAAGATCCAAAGGGTAACACTGACCGGACAACCATGGTAGGACTGATGGTGATGATCATGGTAGAAGATTTGAGAAGTAACGAAGCCATAACTATAAAGAAACGTATGGGAGAGCAAACGATTGATATTTTAATTTGATTTGGAGGATATATAGAGAATGAGGAAATTGATTTGCTTTTAAATGTAGAATATAATAGCTAGCTATATTTATAGGTAGATCAAATTATTTTTTTGTATGATTTGTAAACTTTTGATTGAGGGGACGACCACTTGGGTGTCCAAAAGCTTTAAACTAATTCTTATTATAGTAATCGTTTAGTTATTTTTTTTTAAAGGCTGTATACAATGGTTAAAAATATAAACCATACATTAACTCTATATTATTTATATGAAAAGTTGACATGCATTTACTCATTAATTGCATATATAAAAAGTTAACTAAACTAATTATATAAATTTTAGAACGGTATGCATATACATAAAATAAACCAATTAAAGTATATAATAAAGATGATACTTCATAACCGTAAACGAAATGTATTCAACCAGATATTTTGTATGTTTTGATATGAAATTGAAGATTAAATATTAATTCAGAATTCTGTTATGATTTGTTAAAAAATACTGTGAAATTTCACTAAAATTAAAGCCTTGAGATTTTTTTTTTTTTTGTATTTTATCTAAAAAGAACTTATAAAATAATTTAAATTCAGTGAAAAATCATTACCTAATATATTTCAGATGAATTTTCCCTAAAAAAAAAATACAATGCCTGTAAATTTTCATAGACATATATGCATAATCTAACAGATATAACACCGAATTCTAAAAATATATAACTGAATAACATTATATTATTCTTCTAACCACAATTCATATCCACGAGAAGTCTTTAAGTTATTAGAAATTGAAACTCCCGCATGGAATCAGTTCAAGCTTTTTTTTTTTTTTTTTTTTTTTGTCGGCTGAATCAGTTCAAGCTAATGAGTCCGACTAGACCAACATGGCAACATTCGTATATTAATTTACATTTTGGACGCACTTGGATGATTTTCATGAAAATAAAAGCCAGTATATAATCTTTAATTTAGTCTCCGTTGGTGGTGACATATATAAGTCCATGTACAAGACTACAAGTCACGAATTTTTGTTTTTTATTTTTTAGCCATATTTTATTTTTATTTCCTTACATTCCCACACACTAGCTAGAAGTTCTAAGAAGGATAGTCTATCACTTTTCCGAATAACACTATTATTTACATTAGGTACCTCCAGTTTGGATTTTCAAATTATTTTAGTTTAAACGATTTTTATCGACAAGAAAATAGGTAAATTTGATTTTTATATTGTAAAAGTAAGAAATATACAAATCCTACTCATTTTGATATCAATTATAATTATTTTTTAAGAACCCACGTACCCAATACATAATTATATATTCTTTAAATATTAACTGATTTATTTTTTAGTTATTAATTCATATATACGCTTAGTTTTATATTTGTAACATTTGTAGTATCTTAGTCATGTCTTTAATTTTATTTTCTGAATTGGTAATTATTTTTTTTTTAAATATTTGATTAGTTTATATATGGATTCAACCAAGTGAAAGAAAAATAAAACGTGGAAAGATGTTAATGGATTTCTGTTTATTGATCACAGATTAAATGCAAATAAAATACAAATTGGGATGAATTAATCACGTGATACCTCCAGGTAGGTGTCACTGACATATCACAGACGCTAATCTCCATTAAGAAGCTATAATTCCAATAATGCAACTTGTCTACCATAATATATATGAGGTTTTCTCGTAAACTATTATTTTTCTTCCAAAAGACATTTTTATACTCTCACGTTTCTTATCTTAATTATCATTCTCTTTATAAGAAAAGGGCACATGTAATAGTTTTCTCGACTTAATATTTTAAACATATGATTGAACGAAGTTGATCCGGAAGTATTTGAAAAAAATAAATTCAATTTGCATGTGGAACACCAATAAGATCAATTATAAAATTATTGTAACCAATCATGTTTAGTCGTAAAGTTTTGTCATTTGTTGAGAATTTTTTTAACTTTCTCAACTAATGTTCAACTTGACGTTATAATCTTATGAATATATTGGTCGGTGATAAGAGGAAAAATGAATTTTGTGTGAACCCGTGGATGCATGCGGTTGTCCTCGATACATATATTGTGAAATGACGAAAACTTAGTAAAAGAAATGATTCGTAAACTGTATAATTGACTCCGGTAGCTACACTTATTGTTATTCAAATGCTTGTTGCGTGTGAGTGTTTGATTTTTGATTATCATTCATCACTTGTAATAAGTTTAACCTAATATGCATCATTGATCGTTTAAAAAAAGTCAGTATGTTGTTGCTTGTGACTGTGGTCATCAATGGTGAGATATCCCATAAGTTCCTTGTCCCAATTGAGAGCTGAACATATATATTAGCTAGGCTGCTTTTTTTAGGTCTTTTAACCTAATTCTCGTATGATATATGGTTGATTAGGGTTTCTCAAAACCTACATGTACGTTTTTGTTTTTTTTTGTTGAACACCTTAACATACTTGTCTTTGTATGTATAAATGCGTTCACTTGTTAATAGAATAAACGAAGTGATTATGCAATATTAACTCTTATATTGCAAAAAAGTTTATTTTTTAAAAAAAAAATTTGCTTCACAGAAGAAAACTGTTTTTGTATTTAAAAATATTTAAATGACGTTGCTTAGAATGATACTTTGATCAAGGGATTTTGATTATTTTGCAGTGGTAAATTCGAAAATTGAATTGATTTTTAATGAGAAGACCAGACCTTCCTTCATATATATAGTTTTGCAATATAATTATGTTTTGTTTTTTCTTTTAAATAGAAAGAGAGCAAAAAGAGCACGTGGATTCTTGCAACTTCAGTTCGGCAGATGGGTTACATGTTTGCATCACCAGGTTGGTGGTACGTAGGTGGTTTTTTTGCATAATTTTACTTGTGGGTGATTCTATTCTCTTTTTCTAATCTCTGTCCAAATTTGGTTTTGTCATCCAATGTATATTAAATTTGACATTCAATATAGAAAATAATCTTAAAGCAATGTTTTATTTGAATCAGAGAGATCAAATACGAGTTATTTGAATATTTTCTGAATTTATTTATTGCATATAATTAAAAAAAAACGAGTTAATAATATACGGTAATCAAATATTAAGAAAAATAACTGGTTTTTATTCATTACAACAAGACACGTGCATGGCCTATCAAATGGAACTTGATATTGCCAGTAATTTTACAAACATACAAAGTGTTAATACATCTATGCATATTAAAGGGAAACCTGAGGAACTGGTATATAGCTGTTTGATATATTACCATTAGCGCCGTTTAATTTCTCCATAGAAATTTCATTTCTAGAAGTTACTAATGCCTTCATATCAGCATCCGTGATTCTCTGTAAATAATAACAAAAATTGAAACCAGTTAAGTGTTAAAGGTTTGTTTTTTTTTGTTCTTTCGAAAAGAATAAAATCAAGTTTGTAATGCATGGCCATGAAAATTAACCTTTTTATGCTTGGTTAAATCCCTGAACCGTGAGAAGACGTCGTTCAATTTCTGATCATCGAGTTCATATCCCAACTGAGAATATATAGAAAATAAAACACTTAGGTATGACTTATCAAATTTATGTATAAGAAGTGTCATCTGGTTCAAACAGTTATTGCATATGTGTGTATATGCATGTGATCATTGTATAGCTAAAGATGAATGATATTACGAAATCACATTGGGAATATATACCTCTTTCAGCCGCTCTTTCACTGCATGACGTCCACTGCACATTAATAAATAGATAAACAAATAAGAAGAAAATTACAAACGTGGTGCTAAAAATTTATATTTTAAAATATAGGATAATAACCTAAGTTTTCCAAGAACAATGCCGGAATTTTGAGATTTAACGACCCCGACATCTTCTGGTGATAAGATCTCATACGTACTCCGATTTTTCAATATTCCATCCTGCGAAATATTAATTAGAACAATCATCATGTTAATCAATTCAATCATCATGTCACATATAGCTATATATATATATATATATATATATGTATGAATATATATTACAGTATATGGTTCTTTCGATTTATTTTTATTTGATCAATGCATATTCGTCGAGTTTTTTTGTTTCTTTTAAGTTTTGATACAACATTAATACTTATTTCAGTTAGTTACATGTAGAATATTAAATTAGTGTTGCTTAAAGGGACTTGAAAGATAAATGTAGAATAGTTTATACAGAATCTTAATCCATGTTTTATAAAACTGAACCTGGTGGATGCCGCTTTCATGAACAAAACAGTTGGCTCCAACTATAGGTTTATGTGGTTGAACATACAACCCGGTATACTCTTGAACCTGCGCAATAATTTACATATACAGTACAACCTTGTTAATACTTATTAAGACCATAATAACTAGCATCATTATCTTTTTTTGAAAAAAAAATATTATATATCTATAACATGTGTATAAAGAAAGTTTTTACCATCTTGCTTGTAGCCATAATTTCCCGGGTGTCTAATCCTGTGTAAACACCATCCAGTACATATGCTCCTCGACATTTCATAGCCATCACCACCTACATAACATTGATTTTTATTTTTATGATGACCATGATAATTAGTGTGTGATTATGATGATGATGATGATACCTCTTCTAGCGACGCATTCCCACTTCTTTCACCAATTCCGTTTATTGTTACTTCGACTTGTCTAGCTCCCGCACGTATACCCTATATACATGTGCTCATGTAAAATCATTTTTTATATGTAGAGATTAATTATCATCTCATTGAGAGTATATATTTGTAAATAAATGAAAATGTATCTCTGACACTGGCACCAAAAAAAAAAAAGAGAGCTAGATAGTTCCGTACGGCGATTGAGTTAGCTGTAGCAAGACCAAGGTCGTTGTGACAATGAACACTGAAGACAATATCGTTAATTCCAGGAGTGTTTGCTTTGAGATAGGTCACGAGTTCTCCGTATTCATGTGGCATGTTGATCCCAACAGTATCTGCGACGTTCACCACAGTAGCACCCGCTTTGATTGATTCGCCTAGAATTTTGCATAGAAAGTCCTTGTCCGACCTGAGTTAATCTAGTATTTTAAAATCAATATATGACATGCAATGTTGCATATGTAAATGTCACAAGTCACACAAAATCCTTACTATATCTAGAACTAAACAACTAAAAACGCCTTTTACATTATGATCTAGACTTTTTCCTGTGTCTAATTTACGTGATTTTTCTCATGTGAAAACTGTTTTAAGTTGGAAAGCAAATACATTTTGATATGAACTATTATTAAAAAGAATGAACCTAGACGTCAAAGCTAACATAGGAATTAATACTAAAAATTAATACAATATAAGGTTTAAAGATTTGGACCTGCCACCATCTTCACAACCAAGTTGAATGTCATTGAAGCCCAAGCTTTTAGCGAACCTAACACTACTGGCAGCCATCTCAATCACTTCTTCTTTAGTCTTCTTCAACTTATATTTCATGTGAATGTCACTAGTAGATGTGAATATGAGTATCCTCGGTCTCTTCGCGTACTTTACTGCCTCCCAAGCGGCCTCAATATCTTTATTTTTGCTTCGTGCAATGGCACATATCACCGGGACGTAGCCTGTTTCCTCATCCACCTAAGCGAAATAGCAATACAATAGTTTATTTTACATACTAGTACTATAGTCACTTCTTATTTCTGATATTCATATTTGGGAACTTACCTCATTTCCCACGGTCTTGGCGATGGTCTTAACGGTTTCTAGCTCTTCTTCAGACGACCCGGGAAAACCGACTTCCATGATGTCTACTCGGAGTTTAGCGAGCTGCCTGGCAATCTCTAGCTTCTGAGGAGGAGTAAGGGATCCACCGGGAGCTTGTTCACCATCACGGAGCGTCGTATCGAATACACGCACATAGTTCTTGTCGGGAAGCTTGTTCGGTATGTACTCTGGCCTCCGTTCCACAACGGGTTTGAGGCCAGTAGCATTAGTTGCAGCAGTCTTTATGGACTCGGAGGAGCAACATGAGATGGAAAAGGCAGGCTGCTTATTGTACGGTCGAGTCAGGCGGAGAGAGTGCATAAAAGACCGAAGGGGTAGCACGGACCCGGCATTAACCACAGTAGAACTACCGGTGTTATGGATTATACCCGAAGATGTCAGAAGTGAGGAAGCCATAATTTTGGTTTAGACGTAGGAGAGAAAGACTGAAAGATTTTGATTTGGGTAGTGAGGAAACTGTTTTGAATGGGAGATGGAGTACAATATAAAAATTATCTATATTTATAGGTAGAACGATTATTTATTTTGATTGGAAGTATAGATATTTCTAAACATTTTTGGATGTCAAAAAAAGAAATATCTGATTTAGCGGAATGTGACTTAATTAAGCTTATCCCTAGTTTTGTTTCTTATAGCTATTGTAGTTAAAAGTAGAATATGTTTCAAATTACATTTTGCGTTTGGTAATCAAATCAAAGAACGTTAAATGGGTCAATTTTTTAAAAGCCGGACGTGGGAAACCATCTCCGCATTATTACTATAGATGGCTGGTTGGACTGGTTGCAGTTAAACGAGGTTTTCAATTTTATTTTTAGTTTTATTGATTTATATATAAAGAAATGGGCAACCAGATAATCGAATTGTGAAATTCACAATTACATCAATAATAGATATTTTTTATTACAATATTTTTCGAAAAAGGAATAAAATTATTCCAATTTGTAGCATAATAATTTATGTTTGTGTTATTGATCTATCAACATTCGGATAGAAGATATTGGTGTAATATTACTAATAAATCAAAATAACTGATTTATATGGTCAATACATCTAAAGGACATAAAATCACACGTGGAATAATGCACCTCTAGGTAGGTGATATATATCGCATTTCGCATATGCCGATATTTGTACGTAGTTTACGATATAGTTAAATTCTCTAGTAATTATCTTATAGTAAAGTTTACAATATATAATGAAAACTTTCTATAAAAAAATAAATAAAAATAAAAAGATAAAAAAAATAATGAAAACTTTCTGCCAAAACGAAAGAAAAGCAAAAATTAGTCCCATATAACATTTTCCACGTTTTCATATACTGTTGACGCTTACACGATGATCCATTATGTTAGGATTCAATTCTTCTTTTTCTATTTTCTCCAAATGGATGCTATAACTATTCTTATCATATATAATACATTAAAAAAATACATCACTAACATCACTATTATACGACATTTTCTGCCTCTCACTAGTTTTTATTTATATCCTAGCTAGTATGTATGCCACATGTTAAGCGTTTTTTTTTCTCACAGGTTAAATTTAATATTAAGGAGACTACTACAGTGTCGCAGATATAATGTTATTGTCTGATATTGAAACTCAAATATATTTCATGTCAATAATATTGTGTATAAGATTGGGATTCAGAGAGTGATGACATGGTGTTGGTAAAGAAGTGAGAACTTGGATAAAATGCTTTAGGTGGATCGTAGATTGTACAATAATGAATATGTTCTGTTTTCTAGAAGGGATATATACAAAATAAAACAATCGTCGATGAAGGTTTCCTATAAATAAAACAGATGGAATAGTATATTTCCTTTTGGCACAACAAGAAGAGATTAGCATCAGTGATCACGTGTATGTTTGCGCATAGGTAGGTGAGTTGTGGATAACTAAAATGTCCAATGCTGTCGAGTGAGGTTATAGCTTAATGTTTTGTTCAGCCTTTATGCATGAGTACCTACGACATTTACTTTTTTCGATTAATCAAAAACTAAATCATAAAATGCAAAAGAATTGTAGTGGATATGTAGTAATCTGTACACGCGGCACAAGGCTGAAAATAGTAACACAAGGCTGATGATGGTATTATCTTATAATTAATTAAAACCTAACTAAATGTCAAACAGTATACATTGATTTAGTTTATAGAAACTATATCATTAAATTAGCTAAATGATGTTGCAGAAATGTATTATATCAATTTCCAACCTTACAGATTATATCCGCACATTTCCAGAATCCAAATTGAATGTTAAAGACTATTGATTTCCAATCTAGATCTTTAGCATCGGTTGCAAAAAAAAAAAAAATGATGTTAGTTTTACATTACGACTTTTGATTTTCAAGAAATGATTTGCTATAATGGACTGTGCCAGTATGGTGAACAATATTCATACAACGGGCCTACAGGCCCATTTCTTTCATAGGCCGGATCTTAATATCTCGGTCCATGAAAAAGTGATCTCACCTAAAACTAACGGTCCTTTACTCAAAGTTAGTTTCAATTTTCAATTTGTTTCAAAATTTTCTCACATATCATATTCCACTGTTAAAGAAAAGCACATTTACGTATTAGTATTAAACTATATCTGTATACAGTATATATTTTTTACATACTTTACTAGCCAATGTACCTACGTTAACATTATTGTCCCTAACGTATTTATTATTCATATTTTTCTATTTCTATCGTTATTTATTTTATTTTTGTTAAAGAATAAGATGAAGAAATCTGGGAAGGGTATAAATGTCAATTGAAACAGATGAATAGTGTATGTATTCCCATCAATCAATTTGCTTCTCCTGGCCGCTCTCGAGTCACTGACCAAAAGTGATGACTTTTATACACAATCCCTTTGTTCTCTGCTTCTCTCTCTCCATACAACGTCTAACAAATTAATTTAACCTCAATTTTATATAAATAATTACTATCAGAAAAATCAACTAATATTTTAAAACTAAGGTTCCGAATACTAACTATATCGTACTACAAAACTGCTTCGCAATAATGTTAAAATTTCTACATTTCTATATATATATATATATATATATATATTTTCGTTACTATTTAAACCGCACCGTATTTCTTCTGCAGTTACCATTCGGGACCTATCTTTTCATACTTATTATATTAATGTAGTTTTGAATTTATATTTATAAATTACATGGATGTACTTTGGTAGTTTCATGTAGTATGTTAATTATTTTCTTCAATTAACATTTGAAATATGTTCATAATAGTGTAACAATATACGATGTTTCAATTGTGTTTGTCTTTTAGGAATTCAAATCCATGATAGAAAATGTAGATGAGTGTTTTACTATCAGATTTTTCTTTACTATAATATATAAGCCTATATACATAAAATGCGAATAGTCTCATCTAATTTTAGAAACAATAACATGCTATATATGTTCGTGTGTGGCATGTGGGCGTGTGTGTGTGTTAGATCACATACTTTGTTCCAAGTTTTAACGAAAAGCTGATATACTCGACAAAAAAGAAGATCTACTCTTCAACCATAAATTCATCCTTTTGAGTTTCATCAAATCAAATCTCCCATTGTCTCTTCTTAACTAGAAATTCAATAAAGAGACAATAATAAACAAAACACAAAATCCCATAAAACTGATCATAGTCTTTCTCTCTCTCACCTCCCATACCCCATCAAATCTTTGATATTACTAACAGTCAGTCCAAGATATATTTATATAACAAGACAAGAGAGTCTAAAAGAACTAGGAGTAGAAATAGGGCAAGCACTTGTGTTGTAGGAGGCTACTACTGCTTTTGTTCTCAGCTAGGTTGCTTATCGAACTAGAAGATGAACCTGACCCACCCATGTTTATGTTAGAATTAGTGCCTGTTCCACTAATCATTTGCTTCAAATCCCCATGCCCATTGTAGTAATTATAATAACCTTGTGTGGAATCCCCATTGTAACCTTTTGTCCTCTGGTCAATGTGGTGGTCTATCATCATCATCATCATCATCTCTTCTTGCTTTATCATAGTCTCTGACCTCTTTCCATTAACGTCTGAAGAGAAACTGGTATGGTTGTTGTAGTGATCACACATATTGTGGTTGAGCAAGAAACCACTTGCGCCAGAGATGTTGTTGTTGCTGTCCGAGAGAGAGAGATCTTGAGGATAATTAAGGTTACTATAGGGAAAGATCTGTTTGTCGTCAGCTTCAAAGCCATTGATGTTGGAGATGAGGTATTTTGTTGGGTCTTGATTAGGGTTTTCAGCATAGGGATTATAAGAAGAAGATGGGATTGTTACTGATGGGGTTAATGATCTTTTCACATCCTGAGAATTAGGGTTTAGATAAGGAGAAGCCATGGCTGATGATGAGTGAGAGGAGGAAGACGAAGAAGAAGAAGACAAGAGCTTCTTCCTTAGCTTTGTATTCCAATAGTTCTTGATGTCATTGTCTGTTCTTCCTGGTAGATGAGCTGCTATTATTGACCACCTACAAGTTTGATCAATACATGCATATTAGTAATTAATGTCGGAGAAAAATGTTGCAATCTAGATGAATGTAAGTTGCTCATGGTTTTGACTAAAATAATGAATAAAATTATAAGCACGTTTAGAAAGACTTTGATTATTAGTTCCAAATTACACATCAATTCGATAGTTTTAGGAGAAAATAACTTTTAATAAAATTAATTTAAGGAGAATGAAATACTATTTTCTTCCAACCTATTTTAGTAGATAACTATTCAAGGGACCTTCATAACCAAGTGGACAACAAACGGATATAAGTTCTGTATTTTTACTGAGGATCGTCTTAATATAATTAGCTTCTTAATTATTATCAGAGAGTAGTTGAAACAAAAACTTAAATAGAGAACCTGCTTCCAATGGCGGCAAAGAGGCTAAAAATGATCATGTCTTCTTCCTCAGAGAAGTCACCATGTTTTATGTTTGGTCTCAAATAGTTAAGCCACCTCAATCTACAACTCTTCCCACATCTCCTCAAACCTTAAACCACAAGAACAATAGATAATGGCATATAAGCTCTTGTACGAGGAAATAAAAGCTCGTAAATGATGAACTAGGAAATTGGTTCTAATAACACGTTAATGAACTTACCGGCTTTGAGAGGGAGAGAGATCCAATTTCCACCATTTCCATACTTCTCAATGTAATCTCTAAGCTTAGAGTCTTCCTCAGGGGACCAAGGCCCTCGCTTCACTTTTGTCTTGTCGCAACATGGAGCTCTCCCCATTTCTCTCGTTAGTGTGGTGAAGTTTGATAAAGAGAAAAGGAGAGAAACTGTTATCTCTTACTTGCTCTTTTTAGGATGGACCTTTTGTGTTTATGGAGGAGTGGTTGAATTTGTGCCCTTTTAATAAGAGACTTGGATTTGGAGTTTTGGACTCACCCTATCAATTATTATTATTTTTATTAGAACCAATAATTTTATTTTTTATTATTTCATTTTGTTACGAAAGCTATGGGTGTGGAGAAGTCAACATGATTGACATGCATGCATATTCATTGTGCCTGTTTGAAAATATTAGATTTCCAATTACTCCGATCTACTTTTTTATTTTATTTTTGTTCTTATTATTATTCGCGTTTCGTTTTGATGAAAATTAAATTACAACAAATACATGACTGTTCAAAGAATCAAGTTTATGTGACCGCTCTTGATTCTTATGTTTATTTTGGTTTTTATGAGGACCTCACTATGTTTTCTAATTATAATCGGGGTCATAATAAATCTTATACTGAAATCAAGATTGTTATCAGAATTTGTGTTCATAATAACCGTAACTAAAATCGTTGGGTGGAAAAGCTCAAACTCTTGATTTTATCACTTTGATTTGATTGGATTTCATATTATTTTTTCATCACCCCACCATCTTTTATTGTCAAATATATACGTAATTTTCAGCAATTTTAAATGTGAAGTTTTAACAAATAAGGTGTGCTGCTAAAGTATCTGTCTTCCCTTTTGATTCTTTTTGTAGTTTTAGAGTGGTCAAAATGACTCGAAGTTCTTAGTAAATGCCCAGTCCAAACATAAAAAATATATATATATATATATATAATATTTATTTATATTTATATATTACCTTTCGTAATTCTCACGAGAAGTGCAAATATTCAAAATCCAGAACTTTGTGTTGAGTTGACAAAAACAAAAAACATTAACGAAAATCATCAGCATGTTCCTTGATTTGATCATTCGTCTAATTATATTTTCGTAAATTTATCATGAATTTCAAAAGTGAAAAGTAAAAAAAGAGTGCCCAAGTGGTGTGGTGATATTACACGGATAAAAGAAAGAAGACATATTAGTCGAGGAGGCTGCATTGGACGGACCAGTGAACTATATGGAACTGTCTGATTATAAAGTGACAAAAAAACAAAAACTCATTTTTGCGAAATTCCAATTACCAAAATTTTTTATCATCACGAGTTGACTTGCCAATGTTGTTTTCATTATTACATTTAGTAAAGTGCCAAAAGAACCCCTTCATAATTATTCATTCGTACCACTTTTGATTGACACTTGCATGCATGAATAAATCTTTAATTAATAGGACACACACACACATATATGAATTTCATGATGATCAGGTTTATATTTGGACCGACTAATCAACTTCAGAGCTAATGACCCGTCGATGGGGTATATGTCTCCATATATGTACAATTGATAGATCTACTGTACATTTTTACATCATTTAAGGTACATGTGTTTTATTCATGCAGACACAGTCACACACACTCATTTCCACAAATGTGTAAGTAATATGTATGCGTGTGTACAAATAGCCAAACAAAAGTTTCCAGATTCGTGGTGTAGTCCTTACATTTGCTACGATACATTTATGTGTGTATTAAGGAACTTCATTGTATGTGTTTGAAACCAAAAAAAAAAATGTATGTGTTAGTCACATTTATAGCTTTATATCATCGGTAAATATATATCTAACGTAGCAAATGCAATGAGTTCTCTTAAAAACACTTTAATCCAAAAAATTATTTAGGGGAGTAATGAAAGTGGTAGTGATGTTGACTACGTGAAACTTTGGCTTTTGAACTTCTTTGTCAATTTAATACTTGCATCAATAAAATAAAATAAAAATTCGTCTTATAAAATATCTTATATTGAGGATATTTGAAAAAAAAAAAGTATAAATGCATGCTAACAATTTTTTTATTATTATTACATTGATATAAAATGGATTTAACATTGAACTAGAAAAGTTTTTATGGCGTATAATTGAACGCTATCAAATCATTTTTCTATTATATACAAATTGGCTACTAAATTTTTCAAAAAGATATGTTGTTTTACAATTTCATAATTTACGTGGATTTTCAACTCAATTTTTAAATATAAAAGAAATTTCATGAAAATCGTGCTGGTGAACAAAATCTCGAGTGTGTATATAATTGGAGATACTGCCCTTTGGTGGTAATGTTCAATGCATATTTAGAAAACAGTTCTTACAAAAAAAAATATATATTTAGAAAACAGTATTGTCTCATTGGAGTTAGACATGACCAAAAGCTAACCTTAACCGTATTTTTAACCGTAACCGAACCGTTTATCAACCGTAACCGTATAAAACGGTTAAAAATTGTAACCGTTAACCGTAAAAGTAAATTAGTTACGGTTAAAAAATAATAATAACCGTAACCGTTAATTAACCGTAACCATAATTAACCGTAATTAATCGTCGGTTAACCGTACGGTTAAGCGCTCGGTTAACCGCATATTTAAATTTTTAAAATAAATTATATTATAAATGTATACAATACCCAGATTTAACTAATTCACTATAAATAATTGAAATCACATATATTTTTTACTTGTAAAATAAATAATATTTCATAAAATTTTATCTCTAATATTAATATTATAATAATCATCAAATAACCGTAACCGTATTTAACCGTAACCATAATTAACCGTAACCGTATATAACCGTAACCGTCTTAACCGTATATATAATGATTAAGGTTATGGTTAAAAAATTATAACCGTTAACCGGTGGTTAATTAACCATAACCGCATTAACCGTAACCGTGGTCATGTCTAATTGGAGTTCCATGGTTTCCAAGCAATTACTAGAGAAATACTCATAATTTCACCACAAATTGTTATCATTTAATATTTCTCATGCGTCACCTCTTAGACAGACAATTATGATATTATCTGGTTTGCTGATCATTATTATAATTTCAGTCATAAGAATTATTGAAAAGCAATAAAATATGTTTGACAAAGAAAGTTATAATAAAAAGCAATAAAATAGGCTGATTATGGGCAAAAAATAATTTAAATATATATATGACTGACAAAAACAAAACATAACAATTAGTTTAAATTTGGTTGAGTCAAACCATGATTGGATGCTGGATACCAAAAAGACAAGAGTCTTTTTCTAGTTTGACTCTCAGTGTATTACTTTGGTTTTTCCTCAACGGTTGGCAAACTAAAGTGGACAAATTACTGAAGGTTTTCTCCAGGCTGTTAAACCATTTTCAACATTAAATAGATATATATTTTAAAACTTATAAACAGATATTTTCAACCTATTATAAAATATGTTACTACCTAATACACATTATTTTCACTGCTACAGATAGACATTAATCAATTAAAAAAAATCCAGCAGTATATATATATATATATATATATATATATATATATATATATATATATATCTTTTCATGCTTTCTAGTTTCTAGTATGTTATAAAGAAATTTCACCCACTTAAATAGTTTAACTTGTAATTTTATTAATTTTTAACTTAATTTGATGTAATATACTATTTTTAATATTATACTTCTATGCATTAAAACATATCCCATAAGAAAATAATACGTATTAAATTTTTAATCCAATCATAATTTACTTTCATATTTTTTCATTTTTCATTTCCCAAATTTTTTAATTTATTATATAACTATGAGGTGTTAAAAAGTGATACTTATTATTTCAACATCTATTACAGTATATAGCATTAAAAATGCTAGTTTTTATTCTAATTTTTCATTTGATTTGATGCATTATATCTAATACTTAGAAAATTTGATATATAAGTATATTTCTGTATAAAATTTCTATTAGCAATACAAAATAGTTTTCCAAATTAAATAATATATATGAAACTTTGATATATTTCACTGAAGAATTATTTCATCTAAAAAAATGTTGATGGTCAGTATTAAATATATATTGAAACAAATCTCGACATACTGGTGGATTTAATCTAATATGTTATACTTTATCATTGCTAGTAATCATGAATCTATGTAAAGTATATACAAAATAAATCGTATATAGGAAAAGTCTTTAAAAGGAACCTCAAATCTTTATGTTTTAAAAAAATAATCTTTAACTTTAATCTTTAGATAAACCCAAATTGTGTGACACTACAGTTAAGCTACAACTAGATTTACATCCATTGATAAGATTACATGTTAATATATCATACCATAATCCAAATACTTCCTAAGAGTGAATTTTACCTAAAATTTTAGAAATATAGAAATGTGCTTACAAGAATTGATTTAATTCTATTTAGCAGCAAAAGTATTTCTGAAATTTTTGTATTGTTGTTTTTTAAAAAAGAAAAGCATTACACCTTAGCTAGCCTGTTTAAGATATTATTATTATGATCCAAAAATTGGTGATTTAATGCAAAATTTAGTGTAATATAAAATAACTAAATAAGTGTATAACATGGAAACAAATCTTGGCTCTCCTGGTAATTTGCAAGATAAAATTAGCCAGATCACTACATCAATCAAAAGATATTTTATAATTTTTAATTTTTCTAAATGTTACCATACGTATAAAAGTTTTTTTCTGTAAATAAAAAGTAAAGTAAATCATCAAAGATTATGTGCATCAAAATATTTACAAAAATCCAAAAATAATGGTTTTTGGACTAGATATCTTCCTTTCGTGTTCAATTTTTTTTTTATATATATATAATGAATTTCTACTTTTGATTTATTGATATGCACGTACCATTATAAAAGGTGACATAGTTAAAAAGTTTAACATACACTCTTCTTGACTTTCAAAATGAATTCATTTCCAAATGGTTTAAACTCTTATGGTGATGATACTATGAACAATCGTAGGTTTACTCCCATCGAAATGAATTCCAACTTTAGGAATTACGAGTCTAAGATGGTTGAGTCAAGATTCATTACTTCTGGCCACACAAACCATCATGGTTTATTTTCTTCTTCGTCTCTCTCTTCATCTTCTTTTGGTCTCAATAATCCACAAGTGGCTTATCAAATGAGGCAAAACATGGTGTCTCGTTTCGAGATGCCTTGCATAACTCAAGTCCCTAATAATCCTCATCTTTCTCAAATCTCTGTCACTCAAACTATCACAAATAGGTATTCCGCTATTATTCCAACCCATAATTTGGTCACTAGCCAAAATGCATATCGTCGTGCCATGAATCACAACATCTTCAATTCTTCTTTTTACCCTACAAATTTTGTTGAGAAACAGTGCGAGATCTTGAATCCAACACCTCTACGTACTGTTTTTCCACATCAAACTTCTGTGTATCCAAGGCAGCCTAATAGGTTTTCTTTTTCACCGGAACACCACCATGACCAACATGTCTCCAATCGTCGACCAGTGAAGAAACGATGTAGATCAACCAGGTATTTCGAAGAAAACTTTGAAGGTTTTGATTCTGAAGAAAGTGGTGAATATGATGGTCGAACACATAGTTTACCATATAAGAAATATGGTCCATATACATGTCCCAAATGTAACAATGTGTTCGACACTTCACAAAAGTTTGCTGCGCATATGTCCTCGGTTCATTACAAGAATGAGACCATCGATGAAAAGTTTAAGAGATACAAAGCGAGGAACAAAAAAAGATTATGTAAAACAAACCAAATGAGCCATGAGGAATCTCACAACATCCAGCCCGAAGAGAGAGTTGTAGAGCAAGGTGGAGGCAATGACAACACAGCAAGCGACCCTGAAGCTTTTCAACACCATATGATTGTTAAAGAAGAACCAGTTTAATTATGATATTTTTAATTAATATGTTATTTGTTTTTATTAAGTTTGGAATAATTTAAATAACAATGTCTCAATGTTAGTGGTATTTTTTTGTCGTTTTAAACAATGATTCGCAACTGCTATTAAAAAAAAAAGTGATTAACAAAAAATTATCTCTGTGTTTTGACATCAGTTTTTTTTTTTTTTTTTTGGAAATTTTTCGTTTGTAAGCAATTTGTGAAGCCAACAATAATATGCGGTAGATGGTGGATGTATAAGTCTAAACATACAAACCAATTTGAATATGTGCTTCTTTTTTCTCTAATCAAACATCATAAATTGTCGAGTTTAGTGGCAAACGGGTGTTAAGAAAATACGCTTCGTTTTAGTCATTTAAGATCATGGCATGAAATTCTTGTAAATGAAAGCTACGATCACATTTCTTTTGAAATGAAAATGTTCACTACATTAAATTCATGGACCATACTAATTTTTAGACATTAACCAATACCTATGTTCATATATATATCCTTTAGCTTATATGGTAACTGGGCAACCATGTGATATTATATGGTTGTGAGTTCAAGTGCCCTATCTCCCTTTTTACTACTTTTTTTTGGGTTAAAATATAATAAAATTAGCAAATTAGTAATATAAAAAATTATTAACATTTTGTCATTAATTTATTATTTTTAGGGCTGAAGTTTGTGTGATATGGTTAGATAAGTAAACCCAAATATCTAATTTGTAGTGAATTGTAAGTTTGTAATTGTGTAATTTTCTAATTAACAAATAAAAATATTTTTCTATATCAATGGAAAAGTAATTTTGAAATTTTGGCTTATTAAAGATGCAAAATATACTTTCAAGTTATCAAAAATATATCTTTATGTAATATATTGTCTAATTAATATTTTATTACATATAATTTGTGTCCCATATAAGATACTTTTACTACATCCGCAGCTGCTTGGAGTACTACTAATTAAGCATTCCTCGCATCCAATACTGAAGCATTAGCAAAGAACCCTTCGGCTGATCCATAGGGACCATGTGGCCAGCATCATGAACCTTCAAGAAAAACATATAAAGACTACTAGTTTCAGTTGTGTTACATCAATATATAATAGGTTTGATTCATTAGCTTTATCTGTTTTGATTACCTTAAGAAAAGTGAGAGAACCGTAACTCTTCAGTAAACCGACTTCTTTATTATCTACCATTAACGGTACATTTTTGGCTGCTTTAAAATCCTTTTGGCCTGACCAATTCATCTCCTCAACCCACCTAGAGTTTCCTGTATAACCAAGAAAATTATTAACCAAAATTGAGGTGTATAACACAAAACTCTTAAAGCTAGAAAAATCCAAATTTTATGATCAATCTTACCAAGCCAATTGCAAAGAAGATCATATTCTCCAGCATAAACTAGTAGACTGATTCCATCATTGACAAGCTCCGGGATCTTGACCTCAAGATTAACCATCCAATCCTTTGTCATTGCATCATAAACTGTGCTACTACATGACACAAATTCGATATCTCCAACCCCTAAAGCTTTCCGTACGTTTTCTTTGTTCAAGAATGTTTCAATCTTCGAAAAATCGTAACACAATCTTCCAACACATTTCTTCCTCACGTCATAATACTTCAAAGAAAAAGAAAAAAAAAGTCTTGTAAGTGAAAAGAAAATATTTTTTAAAGATCGAAAAAAGTCAATTTCAAGAATTTGATGCTTACATTTATGCCTTTGTTTTTTTCCGTTATTGTAGTTACAATGTTGTTGCAAACCTCGAAACCAGATGCACAAGCTAAAGCAACACCAAGATCTGATATTCAGAAAATAAAGATAATTTTTAATCTTTTAACTCGAACATAAATATATCCAACAAAAATTCAGAAAAATAGAAATATATAGTGAGAGAAATTACTGCATTTTTTAATGAAGTTTTGACACTCAACGTAGTCTTGCTTGATACCCTCGTTATCGGATTCTGTAATCAATTTCATTTGCAGTGCATAGTCTCCATACGCAGCATATTGGATTTCCGGGTTGGTTAAACCGTTACCAATCGCAATACCCTGTTTTAAACCAAGATTAGACCATAACTTTTAATTTAATTCCCTAAATGTGTCCAAATTTCAACCAAAAACTTTAATTAAAAATAAAATAAAAAGGAAACTCAATAAATTAATTAAAAAATAAACCTTTTAATTAAATAAATTTCTAAAACCTTTTACGTCAATTACTAACCTTAAGGTTGATTTGGATTCCTTCTTTCTTTTTGTTTCCACTGTGAACACGTGAAGCAAAAGCCGGAATGTAGTGACCAGCGTAAGATTCACCAGTAATAAAGAAATCGTTCTTTGCGAATTTGGGATGCTCTTTGAAAAAAGCCTACCAAAGTTTCAAAGATAAAACCCAAGTCAATACAATGTCAATAACAATTCTTCTAACAACAAAATGTACGTGTACGTGAAGACCAACAACAATCGAACCTGTAAGAAATCGTAAAGGTCATTGCTTACACCGGCCTCGTCAAGCCGGATATCGCTTATATCCTTTGTGTAAGAGAAACCAGTTCCGACTGGTTGATCCACGTAGATTAAATTGGATACCTATTACAACATATGTTAAGACAAAAGACATTTTTCTATCATATATGTTTCTTGTAGACAAATATGTTTTGTTGAATAAGAAAAGGAAATCTATTAAACCAAACAAACCTTGTCCCAACCAAAATCGTTCCAAGAGAGAGAGAAATCATCTGAGATCTTAAACGGACCATTCTCATAAAACATAGCGATACTGCTACTACAACCCGGTCCACCAGATAACCAGATCACAACGGGATCAGCACTATTGTTCCGTGACTCAAAGAAGAAATAAAACATCCTGCCAAAACCAAAATCAACAAGAGCACCCAAAATGAAAAATAAAATAAGTTTAAAGCATCCATGTCTATACCAACTATTAAACTGAACAAGATTAGGGCTAAGCATGATTTGAATAGGACTAATTATTTGAACGTCTTAAAAGATTTACTTGGCTGATTTTGAATGGGGGAGGCTGTAATAACCCGCATAGTGGCCAAACTCTTGGACAGAAGGACCACCGGAAGCGTTTTGGTCACCAAACATCGCGCGAAAATCAATTTGGCTCTCGAAGAGTCTTGGAGCGTTGGGATTACCTTTTTGGATGACATTCACAGCATACTGAGGCGTAAGATTGAATGAATTGATAAGACTCTCCGCATTGAGGCTTGACAAACTCGGAGACGATGAGAAAACGTAGGGATCGTTTAAGATCCTTTTAGAACTCGAGAATGAAAAGTGAGAAGCGATGAAAATCACGAAGAGGAAAGGGAGAGAAAAATTCCTAGACTCCATTTTGTTTCTTTGTAGTTTCTTTGTATGAGAAATGGGGTTTTAACATGAAAAGAGAGGTATTTATGGGGGAGCTATCTTGTTATGTCCATTGAACTAAGGTTAGAAAAAGAAAAAGAAAATGGTAATTTCTTTATAAAAGCGTTTTCTATGGAATCTTTATTTTTTATTATGCTATACTTAATATATTGACTTAAATTAAGAAAGGAATATTTTCAAAATGGTCAAGGTTTATACAAAAGCTTAGAATATTATTCTGATTTTAAAAACTTAACAAAATAGCTAGTGTATATCTAAATCTTAGACTTCAATTTTAAATCTTATAAACTTAATATCTCATGTCACTCAAAAACAAAATTTTAAAATAGTATCTCTCCCCACAAATACTAAAGCCTGACACCTTAAAGTTCTTAACACTAAAATATAAACAAATTTTTTTTTTTTTAATTTTTAAATGTGTATTTTCAACTAATAGTTTTGCCAATTGTCACTTATAACTTTTATGTTCTCAGTTGGAAAAAAAAAAGTTAAAAAAAAAAAACAGATCTTAAAGTTAATTGCAGTTAATTACTCTTATGACATTTCATTCAATTTCGATACATTGTTTCTCAAAATTCTGACTTATTAGCGTATGTAAAGATTCAATTCACCAAAACTAAAGTAAGAGAGATGCATGAATACTAAACCCACATAATCTGTCATTAGATACATAATTTTTTGTCGTACGTATCACAAACTAATTAATTGAAATGAATAGATCCAAAGTGTAAACACGATCTCTGTTGCTTCATTATAACTACTTTAACATCGTAAAGGTTGAGCGATAGTGATATGTTTTTGCATAGTTTATGTTCAAATCATTTCCTTAACACAACTAAAGTATCCTCTTTGTTTTAGTCCCACGTACTCAATTGAAAATTTAAATTTGTGATACATCCTCAATTTCTTAAATACATCCTATAATTTAACTAAGCTACAATCTTTTTTAAAAATATTTGCATGAGCAAAATATAAGCAAAATATAAACAAAACATAAGCAAAATATAAAAAGGCAAGAAATAAAATAATCCATTTAATAAATATAAAAATAATTAACAACTTAAGATGCAAAAAAACAAATTACAACGCTGATGTTTATTACATGATAACTTAGATAGCGTGTGTAAAAATCATACATATGTTTGTAATGAATCTCAATACCGTTAAAAAAAGAAAAAAAAGTGATTCCTTCACGCTACTACTGCAACCCGGTCCCCCAGATAACCAGATCACAACAGGATCCGTCGTATTGCTTCTCGACTCAAAGAAGAAGTAAAAAAACCTCGCTCCTTTTGTGTGAGGAATGTTGTAGTAGCCAGAGTGGTCTCCTAAATCTTTGGTGGAAGGACCACCGGATGAGGAGGAGGAAAGTTGAATGAATAGGAAAAATTCTATGAGGAAAAGGAGAGAGCTCGTCATTAGAACTCGAGAGAAAATGAAGAAAGATTTTTTAAGTTTTTTTGTGTTTGATATTAGGAATGAGAACAGAATGTTGACAAGCTTATTTTGTAAACGTTCTAGTTAACCGACTCAACCAAACTATTAAACCAGCTGATGGCTTTGTCATTCGTTTTTGTGTACGAGAATTGAATAATTATGGATATGATGAACACTCCATAAGTACGTGCTTTAGGAGTAATGATGGAAGTTCCAAAAGTGTAAGATTTAGGAGTAAATAAGGTTGGTGTAATGTCCTCTTTGATTTCCAAAGCAAGAAAAATAAGCTAAATCAGTGTCCTTATCGACTTTGTTTTCTTTTTTGTTGTTGTTAGAGGTTTTAGGGTGTTATTTATGACGCAAACGCAACCATATGATCTATGTTTATAATTGATTTCTTGATCACAAGTTTTATTTATCAAGTGTTATTTATGACATTATGTTTTCTGATCTCTGTTTAATGGCAACATCAGGGAAGATCTACCAAACCAAGATTGTGTCTCTAGTTTAATTCTGATTGTAACCGCAGCATTTAGCCATGTCACCTTTGAATTCGTAAAACGTAAAGATTGATAATGCTCCAAGTTTTAGAAACCGAAGGGAGATCGTGTGTATATATAGAGACAGACACATATACCAAAAGGGAAATACATTCACATATATAACAATATCATGGACACTCTTATAACGGTATCGATCATGGCCCTAATGCTCTTTGCAAGGTCGGAAACCGCACGTGCCGCCACTCTTGTCGTATCCAACCAGCTGCAAACTCGTAAAAACGTTGCCGTTTTCGTCACGTGCGGACCAACCCCTGAGCTGTCCGAATCCGTACATGTGGGTCAAAAAACGGTGATAGACATCCCAAATGCTGCCGGCGATAATGAAAATGCGGAGGCATCTAGGGTTTTATCCCATACGAGATGTGTAGGAACGTTTTACGTCAAAGCACATGAGTCCGCGCCATACGAGACGTGGTACGATTTGTATGATTCAGACAAAGATAACTGTAAAGACTCATGTTTCGTCACTGTCAAGGACGATGGATTTTTTCGTTGGAACAATAACAAGAGAACCTGGGATAGGATCCATTCAAAGACTTGGTGGTACTAATCATATCTTTTGTTTTATTGTTATTTCTGGATTCTATTGAAATGTTCTAATTTCCTTACAGATTTGTAACATTTTTTATTAATTCAAACTAAAACTATAAACGATTACTTTTAAATATTTGAACTGTTTCATTTAATTGATTTAAAATGTTAATTAGACAAAACCGAGGATTATATAATTATAAAGCTCTTTAGGAGTGATGATGGACACTCCACGAGTCTGTGTTTTGGGAGTAATGATGTAAGTTCCACAAGTGTAAGATTTAGGTGTAAATTAGGTTGGTGAAATGTCCTCTTAAAGTTCCAAAGCAAGAAAAACAATCTAACTAAAGCAGTGTCCTTATTGACTTTGTTTTCTATTTCGTTGTTGTTAGAGATTTTAGGGTGTTATTTATGACAATGCCATATCTATGTTTATAATTGATTTCTTGATCACAATACACTAGTTTTATTTATCGAGATTAAAGATTAATTCTTCGTAACATTTAAATTGATCTGTCTTTTGTGTAATAGACATGGACTTCTGTTCTGTATAGGTCATTACCTAGGAAGATTCATTCTTCTACCTAGAATCTTCCTTAGGCCTTTATAGTCACCACAAGAATAATTTTTCTTATGTGTCTTAGATGCATTCTCTAGAATTGGTTTAGAATAATGATGTATTCATTAGAGTGAATTACGAAAAGTTGTTTCAGTACTATAAATCTACAAAGTTCACAATGACTATTGCGGTTTTAATAGTGTATAAGTTGTTTCATATATAATTTTAAAAGAATTTTTCTTTTCATATTTATAAATTAAGTTGTAACATTTTAAACTTTATTTCATCAAACATCCCCCAACCTCAATTTTTTTATAACTGAAATAATTTTGTACAGCCGCACACATGCAACTTAGGTAAGTCATATAGTACTATTTTGTTTATATTGTTTTTTTATAAATCCAATTTTTAAGTTTAGTCAATCTTGGAATTAAACATTTAAGTTAAACGTTTTAGTCGAAACAAATAAAAAAGAATGTTTTACATAATTAGGTTAGTTGACCCAAAAAAAAAAAAATTTACTAAGCCAACCATCATGCATTCATGACACATGTGTTGTGTTACTTGTATGGCAAAGTTTTCTTTCAACATAGAGAAATTGTAATCGTCTTCCTGGTCATCGGCCTAATATTCTGTCATGGTCACTCGCCAAATTATCCCATACTTTAATTCGCCACCTCAGTTTTCCATTATACAATAGGTTTGATCTAGCTAGAAACGATTTATATTATCACAATCTATTTATATGATGACTAGCCCTGACGAGAGTGATAATTTACTGAATTTCTCAATATCGGCAGATGTTATATCTCATTTCTTATTTACCAATGTCGCCGTATGTACGAAATCATAATTCGGTTTACTCCAACACTTCTAGAAATATTACAAGGTTTTAATCACTCAACCATAGCTTTCTTGAATGATACGGTTGGTCTATTCACTGTAACAAAAGGACTGATGACGTGGATATTGAGCTGGTGATCTGAAGCGAAGACTCTATCTCACTTAGAGTGTTTGTAGTTGAGAAATCTGATCTGATGTATAAATAAGGGAGATAAGTGTCGAGGGGGATTATGCTTTTTGCTGATTGTTATGGTTGTGCTTGAGAAGAGTTCTATGTTAACTCTCTTGTATGGTAACTTTATTTGTGTATTGAGAAAAAATTTGTTATCGGTTTGTGGAATCTGAGGTAATTCGTTAACGATAAAAAGGTAATTCGTTAACGATAAAAAGGTAATTCATGATTACATGTAATTTGATGCCTGGTATTTCAATTATAATATTATACAATACACTGGGATAGATAGTCATCACTTTCAAAAGTTGATCTGATAAATCAAGAATTGCGTTTAATAAAAGAGTCATTGGAATCAGTTAGGATCTAACTTTAGCGAGCCGAGCTCGAATCTCCTCCAATTCTTCCTCATCATCAACACCCTCTGCAATTGCCTCTTCCTGCAGAGAAAAAGGAAAAACAGAACACTTCTTTTAGAATCTAATCTTTCAGACTTTTTTCATTTTCTTGCAATCACATGCAATGCTTTTTTGTTGCATTGGATGGGGTTTGGGTTTACCTCGCGAGAAGTGCTCGCCTTCTGTGCAGGTACCTTTATCCTTTCCTTCCTAACAGCTTGTGGGAGCTCTGCAGCTGTTTCTCCAGCAATTGCTGTCAATACTTTATCAACCTCTTCATCGATCTCTTCTTCCATATCCTCTGAATCTAGAGCATTGTCAAGTGCCTCATTCACAAACTCTTCAATAACTCCAGCCTGCACATAACACTCAGGATTAAGTACAGTGATTTCAAACTGTAAAGGATGAAACACAGCTCCAAATGTTCAAACAGAGAAGTAGTATGATGCTTAAAGTATCGTAGATCGATAACCATACACGATTAAATAATGAGTGAGTGAAACCATTAAAAGTACCTTAGTCATCTCTTTGCTGAACTCCTGCATTGTTGCAGCCATTTGTGGAGCCTTCATGAGATTATTAACAAGCTTCATAACCTCTGCACTCTTCGACAAATGCCCAACTGTTCGAGCAACCGCTGCAAATTCCCAATGACAGAATGAAAAAGCTTAAGAAACTCAACATAGCATGAGAAATTATGAAAACAAAAGCTTTATTTACATACCAACACTCTCTCCAAGGTGCATCGATATCGAATTCATCTGCGCCTTATTTTCATATAGACGGTTTACGGTTCTTCTCGAACCCACAATTTCCTTAGCGAGTGCCTAAAAACAAAACCACATACTCAATTCAAAAGAAGAGAACCAAAGACTCCACACACAACAACAACAAAAAAAACTAATCTTTCGACAAATCCAAGCTTCAACAAAGGCAAAGACTTTATCCCAAAAATTTCATATATTTTGGATTATACCTTAGCTGAGACCATATCATTCCGCTTAGCAGCTTCTTTAATAGCTTTCTGTACATTCTTTTCTTCTCTCTGTATATCTGAAACAGATTCAAACCCAAACCCAGATGATCAAATCGACAACTTTACAATAAGCAGAAATCAAAATCAAAACTTTATAAATCATCCGATCTCAATCCGAGTCATCTAATCAAATCTAAAGCAGCATCTAATTCAACCAGATTCGTCCAAGCTCAACTTATATTAAAAAAAAACCCTAATTGACTCAAAAGAAAAGGGGATGTGTGAATAAGAAACCTCGGATTTGGCGTTCGATGTTACGACACTCCTGTCGTAATTTGCGTTGCCACTCACGTAAGAGTTGTTTCGGATCAGGCTTTGGCTTTATGATGTTCATCACTCTCTCCATTGTTACGACTTCTGTTTTTACCTTTCTCTGTGTGTTCTAGGAGAAGAAAGAATATTTGTAATGCTTAATTTTGCCCTCTGGCGGACCAAACCCAAAACTATTCGACAAAGGAAACAAAACATTAACAGTCTAACCGAATCAGGAATATAACTTTTTAAGACCGAACCGGAGAACATAAACAATCAATCAGACCGAACTGAAATAAAACAAATCGAATTTCTATAAATATTTCTTTATCCAATTAACAGAATCGAACTTCGTATTTATCGCAACACATAATTTTTTTTTGCAGTTGAATCTATATATATAAATTTAGTTTTTTCTCTATTCTCATTATGCCACCTAAACATAAGCCATATTTTTATTTAAATATTAAAATAAATTTAAAACATTCATTTAATGCATATTTATGTTACTTATTTAATTAATAAAAAGTTTATATACATAAAAATAAATTATGTAAAAAAATGAAATGTTAAAATAAAAAAAACAATACTTTAATTTTTTTATTAATGGTAATAATATAATTCAACTTTCATTTAAATTGATCATAATTTAATATTTTAAATATGTTACTGAGTTTTAGAATGGAAGTAAATTTTAAATTTATGGTAGACTAAAACAGCATTTATGTAATTGTATATATAAAATTATAAAGAGGAAAAATAAAATGAAAGTGAAATATTAGTTTATAACATGATCAAAAAGAAAAAAATGATATTTCATAAACTGAATCAAATGTTTTTAATCCAAATTTGAGTATTGAAAGATAATAATTAAAGATAAAATAATTATAACATTTTTGAAAATCAATTAAAAAATAATAAAATATCACAATATGAATAAAAAATCAACAAAACAAGATTATAAACCTCCCGCGCGTAGCGCGGATCAACTGCTAGTACTTAATAAAATTAGTGATAATTTAATTATTATTTTTTTTACAAAAATCACGTTTATAGCAATCGGGATAAACTTTAAATAGTTAAAACATGTGTATAAAATAGAAAGTTCAAAAACAAAAAGAGGCTAAGGTAATGGTCGAAGTCGGCCCAACAGACAATAGAGTCTATGGATAAACAAAACAAAAATATAGGGCCTTTTAGTAAAGTAAATTGTTTTGGGAGGCCTTTTCGTGTATGAATTTTGTTTTTAACTTAGGGAAATAGGTCCAGGATCCAGACCCCTAGATTAGATCCCAGGAGGATAGTACTTTGGACCAATGAGGTAATGACCATACCAATTATATAGTCATAGATGAGGTACCGTGTCACTTTCGTCCTAAACAAAAATCATGATTAATGGTCATTGTTCTTGTTGTCATTTCAGAACAAAACAACAGTACCGAAACATATTTGTTAGGTTTCCTAATTGCGGCTTACATCACTATTAGCAATACGTTTATAGAATTTTGTTTTCTTGATCAATATGTGTTTGACAAATAACAATGATCATATTGCGAGCAGTGCATTAGACAAGAATGGAGAGAGAGAGACTGTTGTCACTTCTCATTTGTTGTAATGTGTTTGTATCTCTGCCTTGTAACTATATATAATATTCGATAGATGAAGAGCTTAACGAGGAAACCAACATATAGATAGTTGTGATTAGTGTGATACAATAATAATAATAATTTGATTGGTGTACTACTGTTTGGTGATGTCTACAAGACATAAAGATAAGAAACTAAAGTGGCCCTGCATAAGTATATGTGTAAATTATTTATATATTAAAAAAAAAATACTACACACAAATTGTATTATTAGTAATATTACATTTATTGAGATATGCATCTTCTTCTGACACACTAGCTGTCTCTTGCTCACATTGCTCTGTCCTTCATCTTTCCCTATACATTATTACACTTACACCATCTTTTTTTATTCTATCTTTTTATTCATTACAAAATTCTATTAGCTAATTATTTCTAAGTATGGTCAACTAAAGTTTAGATCCGATCAGAGCTTTTATGTGTAAACAAATTGCAAGTATTCGTGTAACTTTGTTATACTAGTAGGTAGCTAATTTGATATAATAACTTATCACAAAAACAAATTATCGTTTTAGCTTAGTAATTTTCTAGTTAGATGTTAAATTAGAAAATGAGATTTGATGAATTTAATTATAATTTGCAACTTTGATTTTATATTCAAGAAAGAATCATCTATAAATGCCTACTCAACAAAAGAATTACAGGTCAGCAATACTTTACACTTTCACTTCCCCAAAGCACGTTTCAATCCACTCAGTGCACGCCAGCTCAGCAAACATCTCACGTGTCGGGTTTAAAACCCCACCTCACGTTGTGGACACCCCCACCCCACACACGAGACATTCCCGGTTTAACCCGATTCCGAATCAGTCCGAACAAAACTAATCCAGCCTAGCATCCATTCCCAATTCAGACAGCGAATCTTACATGTCGACTTCTCATTGGCTCAGTACCCTTGACCTTCTGTACGACCGTTCACCGAGCTTTCTCCGCAACGCCTCGAGGATCCGCCACGTGGCGTCTCCTTCTTTCATCGGAACGTTGTACAAGAGGGACCGTTTGATCTCCGGCTCGTGTAGGTTTCGCTGTATCGCTGACAAGTTAGTCGCAGCCACGTGTTCTAAAATCTTTCGTAGATTCCTCACGTCTTTCTCCGCCACCGTGAGCGAGATCTCCGGCCACCGTACCGTCTCCGAGAACGGTAGCTTGATCCCGTCAGCTATCACCACGGGAACGCACCCTAACACTGCGGATTCCACTAGCCTTGGACTCCATGGTGCCCACCCTAGTGGACAGAGACAAAACACCGATCTCACGATTTCTGATCGGTATCCAGCAAACCGGTGCCGGTTTAGATAAAACCGTCTTCTTCCCCCGTATTTTTTTAGAATCGCCGTTCTCACTCCCCTACACACGCCGGAGGAAAAAAATTTCACATTGTAGTAAAAATTAAACGAAAACACACACAAAAGTCAAAGTCAACAAGAAAAAATTGTTAATGGCTACGCAAACGCACTTGCTGTAAAAGCGTCCGCTTATATTCTTAGGGTTGACTTCCATCTTTCCCCGGAAAAACGCCCAAATGTCTCGCCGTCCGTTCGCCGGAGATCTTTCGACAGCTCTCTCAACACTCTCCGGCGGGATATAAGGCGGGATCACAACATGCTCCACTTCTTGACATGGATGCTTGTAATTTACTCCAAACGTTTGTAAAATTATTGACTTCTTCATAAACTCTGGTATCCCTTCCTCAATAGCCATATCCTCCTACACATAACAAAAAGATCAACAATTACATCACGCATGTCACTATTTACAAGCCTTACTTCAAATCTTGAAAGCTTACCATAGCGTGGAAGCAAGCGCCAAAGTCATGGGAAGCAACGAAGACATGGTCAGAGCCTTGAGTCCGGTTCCAAAACGGGTGACGAACGGAGAGGAAATCAACGGCGGAGCTGAGGAGAGAGCGGGCGTGGCTTAAAGAAGGGAAGCCGTTGGATGTTGAGAAATTGCAAGAGACGTAGACAGGGACGAAGAAGAAATCAGCTTCTTCAGGGTCTAACGTACGGACGACGGAGGAGAGAAGCGCACGGTGAATCGCTACCTCCGCCGCGAAAAGATGAGTGGCGCAACGTTCTGATGCCTTAACCCAATCTTCGTTATAACTCGCCGGTAAATCGTATACATATATCTTCATTCCGCTGAACATACCTTTAATCAGAAACCCCAAAAAATAAGAATCAATATTAAAAAATCAATCTTTGAAAAACAGAGGAGATATAAAGGATCGATTTTTATACCAATGGAGGTGGTGGTAATGGCGGAAGATTCGATGAGAGCACGAGAAGGGAGAGACGACGAGGATTTATGGTTAGACAAGAGACGTATCGAGGGAGATGAGGAGGATTGGTCTTCGCCGGAGAAGTAAGATGTGAAGAAATAGAAAGAGAGAAAAAACCAGAGGATCCATGTGTAATAGTTTCTGAAGAAGAAGAAGACAAAGGTGTTTCTTTTATTTCCTCCTCCTCTGTTGTTGTTGTTGTTGTGATTAAGCTGCATTTTCACGACGAAACCTGTCTTCATCTTCTTCGTCTTCGTCGTGTTCGGTCTCGTTATCTCAAGCGACATTGCTTGAATTTTTTTAGCTTAATACACAACGACAGAGAGATTTGGGGAGAAATGTAGAGAAAAAGTCGTTGAATGAATCGTTTTTGTTAATCTCTAATCAAAAAAAAAAAAAAAAAATTTGTAACAAAATCGTTGATCTACTACTACTACTACTACAACTTCCTCATCATTCTCTCGTGTGGGTTTGGTTTGAATCCAACAGGGTCATAACAAATCATTAAGAAACCTTGTAAAAGAAAATAAAAATTGTTTTTTTTTTCAGAGTAGAGAGAGAGAGAGAGAAGGTCACATGGTGGTGGTGATTGATGGCAATGGAGCAGAATAGAGCTCGGCAATGGTCTCGGGTTCATCGCTGCGCTGGTCAAGTGTCTTCATAACCGTACCAGATGATGTAAAATGACGATAATGTCCTTGTTTGTTGTAGGCTCTCTGTAATAATTACATTTTTGTGTATTTTTGGGTAAGTTGGGAGATGGATGATGTTTTAGTTCCCGTGAAGAGCATGCATGTGCTTTGTTTGATAAGCTAATTGTTCTTGTTTTTTTTTTTTTTTTTAGATTTCTCTTATCGTTTTGTAGTTAATAATGACAAGTTAAGCTTAGCTTGCACCTCGTTTTATTTCACTGATTTTACCAAAGTTAAGAACTTGTCATAATGAAGAAAATGAAACCTGACAAAATTAATGAAATGTTGAAAACTGTTGCACTATACGTACGCAATAAGCTAATGTTTTTGTACCCAAATTATAGAATCATAAACTCAAAAAAAAGGCCTAAACCTTAAATCTGAAATTGGGTAGTTTATAATTTAAATAAAAAAAAAAATTTAGCCTTTCTCATTAATAGTCCCTACATAAAACAGTTACATATTGGCTTTGAGATCCTTTTTTAATTATTTTTTATTAGTAATTTGAGCAGCCAAAAAAAAACATACATCGTACTTCATCCCAAACAAGTAATAAAATATTAGTTTTTTTCCACCTAGTTTATTTTTTAAAAACTTGGATTTGAAATTGAAGAATAATAATATATAAGTAACATGTAATCGAACCAAAATCCACTATATTATTAGTGTGGGGCTTTGAAAAGAAAACGCAAAAGGTATCTAAAAAACTTAAAAAGCTTACAAAGGCCACACTGGCCAGAGTGGCCACCGGGTGTGGGGAGAAGGAAGTGCGGCACATTTATACACACACCAAAAGATATTTTATAAAATCCATTGTCTTTGTAATCTTATTCATTAGTTCTTTTTGCCTAATGTAAATTTTGAAGTGTTTGGTTGCTATCAGAATGTGTTGTAGTGTGCTTATACGTATATACTACTTACATGCATAAGCTTTTTGTATACATAAATTTGGGTTGGCTAAATCTTAGTACACATTAATTTTGTTCTCTAAGTGTAATTATACATGTATTAATAATGGTGAAAGATCATCACTTTCACACCAATCAATTCAAAGTAGACAAGTATAGTTTAAGACTTAGAAAAGTAGTAGCTTGTTAATCAATTCAAGTAGACAAGTAGTTTAAGACTTAGAAAAGTAGGTATTAGCACGGACGACGCCTAAGAAGAACGATAGAAGTTGGACATGCATCTTCTATCTTTATCTATAAGTCATGCATGCCCACTTGGTAAGATAATAACGAAGACGCAATAAAGTTTTCCTTTTCTTTTTGTGTGTTGTACGCTCTCATGCATGTATCAGATGTTATTTCTACGAAAGTATAAGGCATGGTTTTGTTATTTCTACGAAAGTATACTAATGATCATCGGTAGGGCAAATAACACCCCAACCTATAACCCAGACTCGAAAACAAGTGAAAGAGTCGGATACCTTAGAAAAATATAACGTAAAAGAACGTATTGGTTAGGTGACTTTGAAGTAAAAACAAATCTACCGACGCAGCAAACATGCATCGATAAAGAATTGAGCTTTATGTTTGGATATCAAAGTGGTTGTACCAATATCACAAAAATGGGTAATTAATTTAAGGCTTCTGTGAAAATTTGGTGTGTTTATTACTACTTTATTTTAGGAATTCTCAGCTACTGATTGGTTGCACTTTTATTTAAATCACCTAGCTAGACTATACTATAGTAAATGAAACATTTAATATTTATAACCAACAACTCAATTCATTCATCTACTCATCTGCCCATAAAAGGCTACGCTGTATATTTATATACATGGAGACAGAATTGGATTTACACAATATTAAACGCTCAAACTATTTTTTTCTTTTTTCTAATGTTCACACATATATCACGTATAGTTATTGAATATGGTTGACTTTGGTACAATTTTTTAAAAAACTTGGTGTTATAACATAGTAAGTTTAGTAGCGTAGTTTATATATTTCCAGATGTGTTTTTCTCTGAAGCTAAGACCAGCCTCAACGGAGAGAGACTTTCAAAAGTTCTGTCAAATGAAGAAAAATATTATTTAATTTATAATTATATATTTTTTCTTTTTTTTTATCAGATATAACATTTAATAGAATGACATATGGTCATTTATACAGAGATACGAGTTCTCTAGAGAAAGCTTTCAGAAACAGTTTCTCTTTTTTTTACCTTCTCTTTTATATTTTTATTATTATTTTGTTAAAACGTTCTCTGGAGGAATACCCCATTGGAGTTGCTCTTAGATACTACTTCTTAACGATCGCCATAAACGATCGCCACACTAATAATCAAAGACAACACTTTGATATTCGAAAATATTCATATATGTTATGAAATTATATATTTTTCTATTTATTTATTACTCTTCGGATACTATTTGGTTTGACTATATAATAAATACTAAATAGTATAGTCTCTTTTATTGTCAATGTATTCACAAGGCATTCATGATTCGGCAAATATTATTCTTCACATTAAATTATCTGTCTCTCTATATATATATATTTATTGTGGGAACATTATAATCGAAGCAATATGTTTGGTAAGGGGATATCTTATACTTAAATCAGAAGGAAGAAGGCTATGAGCATTTTTGGTATAAATCTGCCACTTCTTAACATCCTCTGTTAACTTTTCTTTTTGATTTTTCTAAAGAGTTTCAATGTGCATTTAAAACAAATACAATTGTTATACAAAACACCAAAAACCATTTTATATTTATTAACAAATGGAGTGAAAAAAATAAATTTGATTCAATACTGAATATTCTATGAAAGGGTTGATAAAAACATTGTCTATACAATTTGTAATTTAGGGCCGATGAAGAGAATGTATTTTTAACTGCAATTTGTGTTTCATTCCTTGTTTCGTCTACGCATTTAACACTTTAGAATTTTAATGATTTCATCTAAGACTAAAGATGGGCCTTTAAAGGACTTTACAACCCATTGTAAATAGTTGGACTGGAAGTGTTCTACACCATATCACCCACTTATAATTTATCGATGAGATAGTGTGGTCTAAATCTACTGTTTTACCAACTTTAGGAAATGGTCTAGTCTAAGTTTAGTATATGGAGTTTGTTTTCTGAACATGTTATCTCTGATTAATTGTATAATGGAATGGATTAGGGATTAACCAGGCAGTCTCCGGTTTAAGTCCAGTCTTGAGTCAGTCCTAAGTTATAATGTTTAGGTTTGGTTTATCATGGTTTACAAAAAAAAAAACAAAAAAAAAAAGGTTTGGTTTATCATAGGGTTTAGGTTTGGTTTAACTTGGGCGATCGTATGTAACTAACCGGACTTGATCGAAAGAAGGATTACATATATCTAACAGTGTTGTAAGAAGATATGATTACAAAGTCATTTTCACTAGCGTATTTAACATTAATATGCTTCTTTCGAACTCCACAATCCTTACACGTGAACGTAGAACTGTACTCAAGAACGCAAATTATCTTGTTGATTTGCAACTTGCTTCAACATTATTCCTAGTAAGGCTATTTATTTATGCGACCGTCAAACTTACATAATTATTGAAGATAATTTTGGTTTAGTGCACATGGGGATGGATACTAGACCATAAGTTGATATATACAACTATACAAGCTTAATGAACTGCTTAGAAGAGCTGTTTCAGTGCTACCAGATCCTAATACAAATTTTGTTTTAAAAATAACTGTATGATCCGAGAAAATATACGAACCGTAAGCCCAATAACTCCACAGATTATTTGGAGTCCGGCTCAGATGAATTTGTGAAGTCCATGTGTCTTTGGATATTTGCTTTTACTTTCTTTTTTTCTGAAACAGATATTTGTTTTTACTTGCATTGCATCCATTAACAAAACAGTTATTTACTTATCTTTTATTTTCACTCTTCCACAGTTTTCTATTTTTTTGACAAATGAATTATTGCTAATGCAATAGAAGTTAGTCACATTCTTACCCAAAAAAAAAAAAAGAAGTTAGTCACATGGTTGATCAAAAATGGTAATATATCAAACCCAAAAAAATATATATATATCCATAATATGTTTTCTTTTCTAAACAAAACTTTTCAACATTAAATACCCTACTTCGAGAAAACGTTGTATTTTTTATTTCCGTTCTCCATGTTTTCAAACACAAGACGACTAAGATGGTTAGCCACTTTAAAATGGGATTATTAGTCAACATAATTATACGACATAACACGCGGTGGGGAAAAAAACAAAACTGAAAGAACTTTTGTGATGTATTTGTGTCATTGTGTGGTCGAACAGTTCTGTATGACTGGAATACAACTGGATGTTACATGTTACATGACAAAACAAGAAGTCGGCGTTTTGCATTCTAGAACTATCAAAGACATTTATTCATACACATGACTTTAACCTTAACACATACAAGAATCAATATACATAACTATACATGTCTTACACATGTTACTCAATGTAATTTTTAATCGTTAGGAATCTTATATAAACAGTAAAAAAAAAGCCTATTATTTTATGATATATTGACATGTGTCAAATGATTTATTGTCAATTATGCCATAATTTTTAAATGAAACCGATTCTATATACTCTCTCATTTTTCTACTGACAGACATGACAGATTCAACTCAAACAACAATTTGGTCTTAGTAGATGTCAAATATGCTATTTTGGTTTCTTTAATTAGGTACTATGATCATGCCGTGAACTTATCCCACATATAAGTTGAGAATAAATCATGTAAGGAAGTAATAATTTAATATGTGAGAATCTTTTTTGAACTGTCACAACGGTAAATTCGTTTTGCTATTTTCTTGCTTTCTCTAACCAGTTAAATGCATCGATTCATTAGAGCTATCATAAGTAATTGAATTATTGGCCGACAAAATACTGGTTTCCCTTAATATGGAATTTTAAGGATCTTAAAATTAATACTTAGGAGAAAACTACGCACACAAACTTGTTCCATTCATAATGATACTGAAGAATGGAAGCAAAGCATGTCCCGTGCATTTATGGATAGCTCCCATGTTCGTGGCTCTTCGTATAATTAGCTCTTATCCTGAATTATTTATGCTGTGAAAATTGCCAACATGATCATATTCACAAGGCATTACTACTAGATATGTATATTGAATATTGTGGGATATTGTGGGTCATCACATTCATAATCATATATGATATAGAGACTTATGAAGTCACATAATGATTCATGTCAATAACTGTCATTCTTATATTTTATTCTTAACTTCAAACTAATTGTGAATAATTAGATTAGCCCATATTAACACCATGTTAATTATTTAAAGACGAGATTTTTATTATCTTGATATTTGTAACTTAATAGCAACTCAACAAATATATATACAAATTATACATATTGTTGAAAGTTACAAAATCGCGAGTAGGTACAAGGAATCACGAAGCTTTACATTAGATATATCTTTGTACGTGAAGAGCATTCACACAAGAAACCTAAGCAGGCGAAAGTGAAAAACTCTAAACATAAAAGAAAAGAAAAGTTTTCCAAGACATGCTCTTGGATTATTGATGTTGGTGAAAGAGACCATGAAATGATAACTCTTGTCTCCTTACTTTTACTATTGGAAATACTTTTTTTTCCCCTTTACCTTTTTGGATAATATATTTTCATATAATTGTTGAAGGAGAGAATCATTTCATTAATTTACACTCTTTTGATGGATATATAACATTATCATACAATATAATTAGTACATACACTAGACAAAAATATTAGGAAATATCACAATCATGATCAACACTTAAGTCTTAACACATGCCCTGCGGACCAAATATGGAGTTTTACATTCCTTACTTTACTTCCACTTGTAGTTAAAGTCACTAAATCATTTTCAACAAAGTATTTTTAAGAATACTGATTATAATTTTTTTTTCCCTAAGAAAAAATAAAATTGATTTTGCGCCACCCTATTAGTCATTTTACAAGTTTTTCTTTAGACACATGCATGACGCTAGACTCAGTCCAAATTAGAATTAGACTAATATTTGACAGAAAATAAAATATATCACTACCCAAAGTTGGTCTCGTGTTTTATGTTCTTACCTCAACTTTAAAACTATACTACTTTTCTTTTAGTCAACTCTACGTAACACACTACTTGATCGTATCCAAAGATTGATCATAGATTCTTATACGACTGACTATTAAATATTAGAAAATCAACGATAGATACATTTTTGCTCGCCCAGGCTATAATCTAGCGATCATCCACTACTAAAAGAAGAGAAACTTAGCTGTTTATATTATAATTTTCACGTGGCATTTGGTAACGAGGATGTGAGTAGTGAACTGTGAACTAGTGAGAGCTGTTCTCTTTTTCTTTTCTTTCTTTTTTTTCCACGAGTAGTGATCGGTTTAATAATTGAAAAAGGGTTTCACATATAAACTTTTCTCAATATTTTGGTGGGAAAAGTTTGGGTACCTGCCTCTTTTGCTGACCATGGAATCCACTTCTCACATTGACTATATGCTTCTTTTGATTTTTATATACACAAGAGAAAAAATGGTGTTTGAGGAAGCGTTCGTTCCCGCTCTTTTCGGTGCTAATCGAATTTTTCTTGGATAAAAACAAGAAATGGTGCTGCACATCCCAAGAAAACCGAAGAAGAAAACAAAACACTTTAAAAGAGTTGAGATTATAATCTGAGTGAGTGAGACCAAAGTCAGTAAACTACGTTATTGGTCTAACCTTAAGGTCTTTCTTCCACCAAATACTTCGGCAAAAGAAGGAAATAAAAACTATATATTAAAAAAGATACATCCACTTAAATGATTTTAATATCTATCGTTCCACTCAAAATATTACTTTGAATTTGAGTTGGGAGATTTTATTTTATTTTTTCGTTATATTATTGATAAATAATTTTTTTCTTAATAGTTTGCGCGTTGTAAAATTATAAAAGTGGCGTTAGTTGAAATAATGTAGCAAGATATGATACAATCATGTGCCATCATTTTTTATTTATTTAATTTGATGAAAATAAAAAATTATTGAAAACTCGAAAGAGAGCTACCTGAAAAAAGCTCGATCTGCTTTATAAGCAGTCCAATATGTTTTTACTAGTAATATATAACTCCTTCCCTCCCTAAACCCCTCAAGTTCATTCTCTCTCACCCACTTCTCTCATCTTACACACACACGAACAGTTTATATTCTATAGAGTATCAAAAGATCTTTTAAGCTCAATTTAGTAGAATTTATGGATAACCAAAGCAATGCTCTTCTTGGCTGGCCTTACTACTCTCACGGAAAGGTAAAATTTGTTCTTTCTTTCTACATTTGAGTTTCCTTTGTTTCTTTAAACCTTAAGTAAGTGAATAGTGAAAACATTTGGCTTTTGCTTTCCTTTAAAAATTTACTGTAATTGGTGTATAATGTCTGTCTAATTTCTTGAGGGTTTTCTTATTCTTTGTCTATCTAATATTTTGCACAAGGTGGTCTTAATCTTCAACAAGAGGAGTCAATCCTTGATGGTTTAAATTTACTAAAAAGAATCTTTCTTTGAATTCAGGCATTAGTACCATTGTTTTAGTTTATTTTTCCAAAATGAAGTTGCATTAGAGTGACTAAATTTTTTTGATGAATGGTTAGATTATGTTGATGACTTGGTCGAAAAGAACAATTTTTTCAAGGTGACACCAGTGTAATATGTATCTTCTCTTTAAATGTCTTGTGTAATACCCTAGCTGTGTACTCGTGTATATAAGAGTCTCTAGCTGTTAATAATAACATATCACTTTCATAATCTCTTACACATTTTACCAAAAATAGGTGTTCATATTTTGCATTCTTACTATGTCTTCTCTGACCAAACCCCAATAATAAGTGACTATGAACACCATTTTGGGGAAATTAAGGGTTTCTCTGTTTCTTTCCTCTGTTTCTTTCTTTGTGAGTCTGATTGTTTTTTTCTCACATTTTTGCAGACAACAGAAGAAATAAGACAGTCTCTACTGTACACAACACTAGAGCTGGACCAGACAAAGATGTTTGCTTATGATGAAATAAGGAAGAGAGATGAGCAGTTAAATTATCTCAAAGACATCTTAACCAAAACTATCAAAGAAAGAGACGAAGCTCTCGAGAAATGTCAGCGTCTCATGTTCGACAACCTCTCACTCCAGCAACAGAAACACATAACTCCTCCTTCATCTGGAGCTTCAAGCATTGACGACGAACAAGTGCAGCTACAACAACTAGGATCCAACAAGAGCTTCTCATCCTCGGACTGTGAAGAGAGCATTATGTCACCAACTGGTCATGTCATGAACCCACCACCATCTCAGCTTGAAGAAGTCTCGGAAACTGAGATTATTATGGATCCATTGATTCCAGACAAGCCATTGCCTGAAAAGGGTAAGCTCTTACAGGCTGTTATAAAGGCAGGTCCTTTACTTCAGACACTCCTCTTAGCCGGTCCATTACCCCAATGGCGCCACCCGCCTCCTCCTCTCAAGACCTTTGAGATCCCTCCGGTCACAGTCCAATGTCCAATTGTCAACAATGGTTGTGGCAAATTCAACAGGAAAAGAGTTTTCTCAGATGGATCCTATTCAGAAGCTAAGTATCAGAAAGTTCTTCTCCACTGACCGGGAAATGGATACTGATCTTTATTCTTACTCAAGTAGTACTAATAGTTATCTAATATACCATTACATAGGTCAGTTCCAGTATTAATCTCACTTATAGGGTTCAAGTGAAAGTGATCTCTTGTACATTAGGGCTTTTGTTATGCTCCATTGTCGGAGACAGAGTCTGATCCATTTAGGGTTTAGATTTAGAGTGATGAGAAAGTAAGCAAAAAAAAAAAAACTCCCCTGGTTTTACTCTTAACTTAATGAGAGTTAATACTATGTGAGAGAGTTTGCTATTTTACTTCTTTCTCTAGTTTATGATTGGGATTTTTTGTTGTTGTTGTTGTTGTTACTGTATCTCCAGCCCAAAAAACCCCAACTTCACATTCATGTTTTGGTTCCATGTTTGTGAAACTAAATTAGGGGGTTTCTTTTGTATTCTATGATTTTTTTTTTCCCTCTATGTTAAATCCAAATGTATTCTATGATTCTCTGTGTGATGTTATTATGTTCCCATATTGAAATTGGTTTATCTTGTTGGGGTGTGGTTAAATGTGAATGATTTGTAAATTTTGATATTTTATTTACTTGTTTTGGTTTTTTGAGGGGGGAATGGGTGAGAAGTCGTTGGTAAGTCCAACAACCAAAAGGTCCAAAAGCCATTTCTTTGTCGGTTCGGGTAGGTCCGAAGATCTAGAGCCGGATCTTCTTGTCCATGTAATATAACATAAGTCTACGAGTGTCAAAAAAAAAAGAAAGAAAAAGTTAGTCCACTCATGGATTAACATACAACTCATTTATTCTTTAAACCTTGATATTATACAATACAACCCAATCATTTTTCTTTTACCTTAAAGAAAAGAGTCAAAAGAAGAAAAACAGAACAGCAAGTATCAAACGACCAATACAACAAACTAAGACTAAACACAAAAGAAAAAACCAAACCAAGTGGGTGCATTAAGGTTTTTAAGAGACGTGGAGACGCTTATAACGGACCATCACTTTCCCTTTTAACTCCAACGACCATAGCATTCCAATCAGTCTCAGGAAAAGGTGACACTAACTCAAGCCCAAAGTTTCTCAGCAAGTGGCTCCATATGGCTTTGATTTGCATGTAAGCAAAAGGTCCACCAAGACACTCGTGCCTACCTGCACCTAAGGAGATGTATGAGAATGGACCAGCTACTTTGTCTTCTTCTCTGCCTGGTGAGAATCTATCAGGATCGAACTTGTCTGGATCTTTATAAACATGAGGTAAGCGATTGGCGAATACAGGCGAGGTTGCGACAATATGTCCCTTTGGGATCTCATATTTTTTTCCTTCTCTGGTTGTCACATTGAAATCACTATGTGAGGCTCTCATCAACATGATCAGTGGAGGGTGAAGCCTTAAAGCTTCTTTGATGCATCTAAACAGAACATCCATTTCAGATAAGACATCATAATTGATCTTGTCCCCATTTTTTTCAATCAGTTTCCTCTGCTCTTCCTTTGCGGCTAATTAGTAGTGTCTGTCCCGCATTAGATAAGCACCTGTCCATGTTGAAGTGATAGCGCTTGTGTGCTGGCCAGCAAACAAAGCAGCAATGAGCAAGCCAGTGACCTCAGATTCAGTTGTTTCTCTACCGTCTTTGTACTTTGAGTCGATGAAACATTGTAGTATGTCGTGCTCTGATTTGTCACCAGAACGTTTTCTAGACGCTATGATTTTGGAAAAGATTTGTGCAAGCTTTGCTCTGGCCCGATCACGACAGCGATGAGCTGGAATAGGAAGGTATGGGAAGAGAACACTAATGGGAAGCATTTCATTGTCTAGTTCGTGGAAAAATGTAGAGACATCATCAAAGAGTTGTTCACGGACTTCTCGACCTAGAAGACATCTACTTGCAGTCAAGATGATGAGACGCTCTAGCTCAACACTTAGGTCCACTTTACCACTCTCTCCCCATTTTGAGAAGTAATCCTGACTAAATCAATGTACAAGTGTGCAATTAGTTTATGTTGTTTTACTTAGTTTGGGCTATATATGTTAAGACTTAAGAGGCTATAAAGTATTGGATCTAAATTTATCTTTAGATCGTCTAGAGTCTAGACTTGCGAGTTGGATAGGCTCAAAGCAGCTTTTCAATTTGTGCTGATATATAAACAACCAGAGGCATTGACCGACTGATACTATAGTTATGAAAGTACAAATAGTCTCTCTTGGGATATCTGGACACCAAAGCTAGAGTTGGTGAAAGAATTAACTCTTAACCAGTCGAACCAACAACCTGAGACACTCCAGAGGAGCAAGATTGATGATCAGAGCTTCTCTGCGTCTGTTTCGTGTTGTAGGAACCACAGCTACTGCATTTATGCGCGATCAGATGAAACCGAACATTCGTGTTTGAGCTGCAGTCATTGCAAAGAATCCATACCTGATTCAAAACATCATATTTTAAGTCCAAATCAGAATGTGCACTCATACAGATCACAAGCAAGAATACGATATGGAAATCAATTTCGTTTACCATCTTATTTTCATACAGTTTTGGCATTGGGTATGCAGCAACCTGCAAAATTTGAAAGTAAAACTTGATAAACATCTAAGAGAGACTACACAACAGAGATCAAACATTAGATTATGGAGTCTTACCTCTTCATCAAGTTTTTTCCACAAATTGGACATGTCACAAATGGATTTGGCGCATACAGGGCATGTGAATCTACACAAATCATAAGGTCCAAGGAAAGATTTAACCTTTGTTTATCAATGGCTTCTTTCATTGTGTGGTTTAAAAGAATTGAGGGTTCTTTACCGATTATGTAGCCCCATATCTTTCGTGCACTCTAAATGCATAGTGTGACCACATAACAGGACCGTGATATCTCTTGTGGAATCAAACAGATACTGAGAACAAATAAACCCAAATCAGGACACCATTATGTTACACTAGGAATGGATGGAATTAATTCTTCTACCTCAAAACAAACAGGGCAATTGTGATGCATTGCGCCTTCGACACATCGGTGCTTGTCCTCCATAACCTTGGAGTAGCAACATCCTGTTCCAAGAAAACAAAATAAGATCTTTAAACAATGAAAGGCACGAGAACTTATGGAAAACAAGCAAGATAAGTGAGGTTTTGTCTCTTACGACATCTTTTGCAATGGAAGAAGTTTTCTTCTCCTCCAGTCCTATTGAACCAACATCATTGAGATTACATATCAACTTCACAATCTTGAATTGGTTTGGTAAGCACAAATTACAATGGCAGTGTAAAAGTTTAAATATACCGGCAAATCCCACACTCATCGCAATGATATTGCTTCTTGGAAAGCTGAAAGAACAATCTAAGCCTCAGTACTACAAATTCCAGCTAAAAAGGGCGATAACTCAGAATACAAAACTTACATCATCGTCGAAGAAATTGCATTTTGAGCAGAAGTACTTCCCCATACATACACCACAATTGGAGCAATTTTGCTGGACCTGAAGAAAACAATCAGAGTTCAGCATCAAGAAACATGCATACACGAATTAAACCCCCTGTATCCAAAATGTTGATACTCACGTCTTGTTCTGTCTCACAAAGTGAACATACCACCTGAAAAAAAACAAAAACAAATCAAGATCAATAATGTAATTACAATGAACAAACATTATCAAAATGTTTCAAACAAACCTTTGAAACTTCATGTCGAGGAAGTTCATGTCTATGAAGCTGTTCAATTTGAAGAGAATCCTGTTGGAACAAACAAACACACATTAGTATATAATCTTCACATCTATAACCCAAACTTGTTCTTCTCAAAACACACACACACACACATAATTTGGTTGGAAATAAACTCTTAATAAAACTCATAAAAGACTATTCCTTTAATACAAGTTTATCATACCTTAGCTTCGTTGTGGCAATGTCTACAATCAAAAACCTCATCACAACATGGTGCTCTAATCTTGCATCGTCTTCTGTAATGTGAGCACCTAAACACACAGACACAAATTCAATTAAATATTGAAACTTTAGCTTCGTTAGCCCAACTAAAACTGAAATTAAAAATCAATGGATTGTTCTTTACCCGTAATGCCCAGATCCAATCTCCATCAGATTCGCAACCTGAGAAACAAATTCTTGATTTTCCTGGAAACCCATCTCCATATTCACTTCAAAGTTTCGATCTTTCCTACTTTCAAATCAAACCCAATTCGAGATAGTAAACCCAGAATTGGAAAAAACACGTCGAGAGTAACGAAAATTATAAAGAAACGTAATTTTGAAGAAATGTATTTGACGTTTGTTGATCACAGAATCAAGTAGGGAGTTGCAGAGACGAAGAGCAATCAGGTGGTATATTTATTTTATTTATATATATAAGAGATGAGCTTGGTGACTCGGCAACACGCCAGATTTCAATTTTGCCTAATCCATAGATTTTATTATAATTTGACTATTTTTTCTGTAAAATCTAAATAACAAAAGGAAAATAATATGTAATATTTTCTTCTTAAAAAGTTGTAGCTACAAAATAATACGCCACTAGTTGATGACTTGATGTTAATGTTTTTACATTTTCCTTGTAAATAAGTAAAGTAATGAGAAAATTTTATAAACGAAAAAGAAAAATTGGAATTGGCCTTACGATGGATTGAAGTATCAAAGATTTATATGGTTGGACTTTTTTGTTAAAATATCTTTCTTTCTTTTTTTGTATTATCCACTAAAACCATCATATTTCAGATATTGATATGAACGAAGAGTTTAATGTTAATAACATAGGTCACACTCTCGGTTTTGAATTTAATTCAGTTGGCGCCGACTTGGAGGGGGGCATTAAGATTAAGACCAGGTTTTGTGTGGTGTGGGTCTCAATGTTATGTCATGGTGCTGTCTTTTAAAAAGCAGAAGAGGATAGGATTGGATAATGGATATGATCCTCTCACACTTGGTGACTTCCTTGTGGCTATGGGTCCATATATTTATACATATATTCTCACTTTCTCACTACTGAAAAAGACCATGGGATTTGATTAGGTACATAGACTTCATAAACACAGTAGTGGATCTTCAAGGGGCATAGATTGCATTTGATACGAGTAAAAAAAAGTTTTAACATAATTTTTTAATATATGTGGAAAGTGCAAACAATATTATCTGTGAGACGGATGGAGTTGGACCGTTTAAGTTAAACTGCTTTCAAGGAAAAAAATTATTATTTAAAATTTTACAATCTAATGTGTGATCCCACATTCTTACTTTTACTTCTACACTTACATATGTTAGGTTGTGATCGTGAAAATCTCTAGGGGTGGAGCTTAATTTCTTAGACCCTTAAAAGCTCAAGGACTAATATAGAAAAAGTATAAAACCAGATCTCTGTTATACACCATTGGATCTATTGACAAACTATATTATCTTGATCGATCGATTTCAATTTTGCATATAGTTCTTTTTTTGGTTAAATAGTTTTCACGTACATCTGGTATGCTTGGTTTTGCATTGTGTATCTCTGTTTACATATTTGTATTTTGTTTGATAATATACATCTACAGCTCAAAGAGTCAAATGTAGCAAAACTATTTAAAATATATATACAAAAAAAAAACACTGGTCAATGGTGGCGCCAACTATTGAGGAAACAATAGCTTTTTTTATTCTTCTTTAAAAACAAAAATAAACTGTTACGTTATTGAATTTTTTTTTTTTTTGTTAAGAAGAAGATATTTAACCAAGAAAAAAACAAACAAAATCGATCTTGAACAAAATTTGAAAAAAAAAACATATATCTTTTTGTCATCGTCATGATGACTGATTCTCAAGCAGTATCTCATGATGCGCCTTGGCCGCCTCTTCGCCACGGTCAAGTTTGTTACGGAGCCACTTTTTTCAACATCTCTTCTGACGGAATCTTCGAAGAACATGAAACTCCGACTGTCATCTTCGGATATGCATTGCCTCTCCTTGAGATTCAAGTCCTTCTCGTCTTCGTTTCCATCGCCTTATGTCATATGTTCCTTAGACGTATTGGCATACCACAGTTCGTCTCCCACATGCTTGTAAGTTTAAGGAAACACATTCACCCACAAATCTCCATATCTTGTATCTCAAGTAAACGCTCATGGTTTCTTGTATTGCAAGTAACAAGTTTTTTTTGTTTTTTTTTTATTAATCTAGGCCGGTTTGATTTTGGGACCTCAGCTATTTGATCTGGTGGAGTTTTCAGCGGATAGGTTATCGTTAGACGTCCCAGGAAACGTAGCTTTGGAAGGTATGGGCAGGTTTGGGTTGGTAATGTTCACGTTCTTGATGGGCGTGAAGACCAACAAGAGAGCCGCGTTTCACATCAATAGACGAACGATCGTGATCTCTGTTACGTCCTTTATCGTGACTATGACCAGCGGATTAGCTTTCAGAAACTTTCGTATCGACAAGGTCGACCCTCTTTATATGCCTCTGAGGCTGGCCCCAACAGAACGTACCGTGATTTCAGCGGTTCAGGCATTAACGTTGTTACCTGTCATAACCCATCTCGTATATGAGCTCAAGATTCCAAACTCGGAGCTCGGCCGCATGGCCATATCTATCGCAGCCATCAACGATCTCCTTGGATTTATCAATCTGATAGGCGTCTCCTACGTTGGAACATACAGGTATGCTAAACGTCGATTTAGGAATTTCATTGGTGCAATTGGCATTGAAAAAAATTGATATCAAGATTTATTTTCAATAATATAGCAATTAGAAAACTACTTAATTACCTAACTAAATATACTTTTGTTGTAAATTGTAATCAATGTTTACAATTACAACCCGGAGACTTAGGAGACCAAAAGACTAAAACTTGTTAAAAAAAAATTGCATCAACAAAATTTACTATCTTATAGTCTTTTAGGTACATGACAGATTAAACTGTCTAGAGTCTAGACGATCGCATTATATAACATTTTTACAAAAAATGTACCAAATGAATTAAGAACTTAATCGAGTGCAAGATTAGTATAATTTAGTACTTAACGATCTTGTAAACATCTGTTATAATAGTTTGAAACCGTTCGCAGGTACGTATCACCCAGCATAGCCAACCGCGATATATTGGCAATGATCATCCTAGTCCTTGTGATCGTGTTCATTGTCAAGCCTACAGCACAACGAATAGTTGATAATACCCCAGAAGGCAAGGCCGTGCCGAGAATGTATTTATACGCAACAATCATGACAGCAATCGCAGCGAGTATTTACTCAGATTTTTTCAACCAAATGCATGTTCTAGGAGCTTTACTGGTTGGGATGGCGATACCAGATGGTCCTCCTCTGGGATCTGCATTAGAGGCCAAGTTCGAGAGTTTGGTTACAAACGTATTTTTCCCTATTTCAATCACAGTCATGACGATGAAAGCTGACGTTTTAAGGGGATTGAATGCGTTGGATGACATTTCCTTTAACATAGTTCTTGTGCTTTTCACATTGGTCGTGAAATGGACGGCCTCTTTTGTACCTTGCATGTTCTGCAAGTTACCTATCAAAGAATCTGTTATCCTCGCTACTATGATGAACTATAAGGGTTTTGTCGACTTATGCTTCCTCGATGCCGCTGTTAAAAAAAAGGTAAATATAATTTTTTTATCAAAACCTAACCTAAGTCAAACATGAAACTACATGTATATATTATATTTTTATAATATGGTTTTAATTATTATTCTTTTATACAGAATTTGACGCAAGCAACGTACACGTTCATGATTATTTACGTGCTACTAAACGCGGGGATTTTACCTACGATTATCAAGGCACTATATGATCCAAAGAGGAAATATATTGGATACGTTAAGAGAGACATTATGCATCTGAAATCAAACTCAGATCTCAAGATTGTAACTTGTTTGCACAAACCAGACAACATATCTGGCGCGATCTCGTTGCTTCAATTGATTTTGCCGCCAAACCACGAGAACAAAGACAGAGGAGTCATTGCTGTCACGGCGTTACACCTAGTGAAACTCGTCGGACGTAGTTTTCCCGTCTTGATACCTCACGACAAGCGGTCTAAAACACGACTGCTTCAAAACTCTTATGTCCAAACAATGATGCTCGCATTCACCGAGTTTCAACAAGAAAATTGGGAATCTATGACCGTTAATTCCTTCACAGCTTATTCTCACGAGGATCTAATGGATCAAGACATTTGCAATCTTGCTTTAGACCATCTCACATCGATGATCATCGTCCCTTCTGGACGAAGATGGTCACCTGATGGATTATATGAATCTGACGATATTATGATCAGACGTGTGAACACTTCTCTCCTTGAACGAGCTCCTTGTTCTATCGGCGTACTTAATTACCGAGGATATCAAAAAGGTAAGAAAAAGACTAATAGTACCATCAACGTCGGTGTAATCTTCATTGGCGGTAAAGACGATCGTGAGGCGCTCTCGCTAGCGAAATTGATGAGACATAATCCGAGAGTACGTCTCAATGTGACACGATTTTTATCTGGTAGAGAACCAGATAAGTCCAAGAATTGGGATTACCTTATTGATGATGAGGTATTGAATGATTTGAAAGCAACGTATTCCACCGTAAAAAACTTTTCCTACGTGGAGAAGATAGTCAACAGTGGACCCGCAGTGGCCACCACCGTTAATTTGGTGGCGGAAGACAATGATTTGATGATTGTAGGGAGAGATCACGATGATGATTCACTGGATTTCAAGGGGTTGGCAGAGTGGATGGAGCTTCCCGAGTTAGGAGTCATCGGAGATTTGCTTGCGTCAAAAGAATTAAGAACTAGGGTTTCTGTTTTAGTAGTACAACAACAACAACAACATGAGTGAGTGTAATATATTTCAATAATCTCAAACAAAAATTTTTCATTATAATCACATTTATGGGTCAATGTTAGATATCCTACATTAGACGTGGAAATAGATACTGTATATAAAATACTTGGTTTATCCATTCATTACAAAGAAGAAACTTGAGTTATAAATTTTTGTACAATTCCTAAAATAGTAGGAGTAGTCCGGTATTTTGAAAGGGTATAGTTATGTTCCGCTCTAATACAAAGACGAGTTGGCAAAATTGGTAAACACTAATAAGACCATCTCTATTAGTCTATCCTTTGATGGGTGTCTCAATATTTTTTTATAATTAATTTTAAAGACATTTATTGTTAAAATGTCTTTAAGCAGACACACATACATTTTTCTAAACTTTAAAACACCCATATTTAAATAGTATTAAAATTAATTATTAGAAAATTTGAAGACACTCACCAAAACTGACCAATGGAGATGGCCTAAGACCATCTCCATTAGGAGGTTCATAAGATGGGGTTTGTATAATACAAAATTAAAATATAATTAAAAAAGAGGAGTGAAAATAATCTGAGGTTCATAAATAATTAAGAGTTTAAGATACTAAATACATATGTCTTTTGTTTTCACGTTTTTGGTATAAAACCTTATATTTTATAAAATTTGAGGTATAATGAGTTTATATTTGGAACTTTGAAAATACAGCTTATATTTTACTTAGGAGGATCTATTCAACTCTATATTTTATATTATTTGACTAGCAGTGATACTGTATCTATATAAGTTTGATGATAATTTAGGGAAATTATTATGATTTCTTCTACAATCCTACCTAAAACCATGATATTTATTTTATTTGTATTATTTAACTATGGAAATCCACTAACATCCACTAAAATCTCTAAAAGTCATTAAAAATCCAATCATTCAATTTGCTTCTATAACATGAGATTTTAATGTATATTTTTAGAAATCATTAGTACAATAACATTGGATTTTAATAGACTTTTAAAATTTATGATTGAATAATGATTACACAAATGACTTGAAATGTTTTATTGAGTACACTCCCTTAATAAGAATTTTAATATTGTATATATATTGTTCAACATGAAATTTTATATTAACATTATGGTTTGGTAGTTAAGCAAAATATGAAAAAAATATAAATGATTTTATGAACATGAATATATTCGATCTTTAATTACCACTTTCTCTGTTCTTTTAAAACTCGAATATTCATCTCTCTTTTCTTTTTCAATGTTAAATGGTATAAAATATATATCCGGTTAAAAGAAAAATATCACCGCCCTTGTATGGAATGGGGAACCGAAAGTAAGTGTGTTTTCGAAAAAGTTCAATTTGATAGGCTAAGTAAAATTTACAAAAGAATGTACTTCTTACAAATAAATTTCTAAGACTAATAATGTAAAGAATGGTACCATTTACGTAAGAAGCTAAATCATAAGTTGTTGTTGTTGTATAACCAAAACAGAAGCTTTGGAATTAATATCATGTGAAGTCAAAAGATCACCAATAACACCAAGCTCATTAAACTCACTCCATTCCTCAAGCCCATCTGTGAACACACTCTTCCTTCCTTTCCCTCTTCCCACTATGAGCATATCAAAATCTTTTGAAATCAACTTCAAGAAACCAGATGTCTCAGACGCGTCTTCAATCTCTTTCTCCGCGTAGAAAATGTCTAACAATGTGTTGTTCTTCACGTCTCGAAGCAGTTCATCGTCAAGCATTTTATCCCACTCAGATTTTTCTCGTGCGTTCTCATCAGTAGTGACCATTCGGACAATGGTTACTTTGATTCTAGCGTCACGGGCCATTCGTGCTGCAAGTGTCACTGCTTCTCTATCGTCCTTACCGCCTAGGAAAATCATACATACATTGTATGTTGATAAGTTTGAGACAGCGTCACTAATGGTTCTTCTTCCGAAGCTACTTCGGTAGACAAATATTCCGACAGAACATGGTGCCACTTCAAGAACGCTCTTATTTAGGTTCATGATCATGTTACTGTTTGAAATGATAGCTTTTCCGTCAGCTGACCAAGTCTGGTGAAAAGGAAGTAGTATGAGGGAAGTAGTGTTGTTGAGAGCAAGCATACAGATGTCTCCATGCATCGTATCAGGCATAGATAAAGCCGTGAAGACGCTTACAAAGACCGATCCGTAGAAATCTTTGCGGAATTTTTCAAAGGAGGCAAGTACATTGTTTGAGTAAGACGTCTCCTCTGTTCTGAGAGTTTGCAATTTATGGGAAATGAAGATCGGATGGGCTTGTCCTACGAGCTCCAACAAGTGAAGGACATAGGCTGCAACAGGAGATTCCCGGGATGGGGAAGTCGTTTCAAGAAGATTGATCATTGGACGTATATCATCAGTTCTATAAATGCAAGACAGAATCCTTAGTTCAGAGTTTAGTTTCAGGTGCTGCATGTTCCGCTTCTCGTACCCAGCGTACATCCTCGAAGGATCGTATAAGTACCGCAAGATTGGAGGTATGACTGCGGAGTTAAACAGTATGTAAAGACACGCGACAGTAAAGGTCTCCGGACGAACAGACTGCAGTGTTAATCAAAGCATAAACAATGAGATAAAGTTTTATACTGAAATGTAATGATTATGATGTGTTAGTACATACCCCTCTTTGGAAGGCTAAGGCGTAAGCACCGAGCTCGAAGATGCCTTTAAAAGACATGATAAGAGATAGAGCAAAGCTGTCTGCCATTGGCATACGGTAGAACAAAGCAGGAACAGTAGTCAAGATGAATTTGACGACGAAAGATATTAACATGATGTATATAATACCATTGAGATCTTTCCATTGAAACAGAGCCGAGATATCGATCTCCGTGGAAGAAGAAGCAACAAAGAACGGAAGAAAAGTGCCGAAGATAGCTGATTCAAACTTCTCAACGATAGCAGAACCTAGAGGAGGGCCATGAGGAACAGCAAGACCTAAGATGAAAGGTCCCATGAAGATAGATTGCTTGCACCAATTCGCAAGCATGGCTGAACCAGAGACCATAACAATGATTGTAGTTAAGTAGATTGGCTTCACAGGACGACCAGAAGGCGTTTGTTTAATAATGTAGAACATCAACGGTCTGAAAACATAGATTGCTACACAAACAAAGAGAACCACTATCCCTGCTCGCATCAAAGGACGATCCCCAACAATAACATCTCCTATAAACACACTCCCGAGCCGTGTTTGCTCGTCTTTGAGCTCTTTCATGAAGATGAGAGCGGAGGCAAGAACCGAGGTACTAAAATCACTGATCACAGCTGAAGATATAGCTAGACGACCTAGCTCTGAGTTCTGAAGCTTGAGCTCAAAAAGAAGGTTTCCAACGACAGGGAAAGACGAAAGGCATTGGACTGAGTAAATCACAACATACTCCAATGAATTGAGAGTATTGTCCGATTTTTTCGTTCCTACGTCCCTCAGATTCCCGAAGAAGATAACGGAACAGACCAACGTGGAAAGTAAAACAGAGGAGAGACCAATGGTGATAGCTTTTCTCCCCGTGGTTCGGATCAAACTCATGTCCATTTTAACTCCCATCAAGAACCAAAACATCATGTAAGATAATGCAGCAGTAAGACTAAACACAATCTCTTTGTAATCCTCTGTAGAAAAGAATCGTCTCGCCGCTGTATTCTCCTTTAGGAAAGACTTGCTTAGAAGAACACCGGTCTACAAGATAAACACAACACATGCAGAACAACCCTTGAGATTTAGAATCCTTGTAATAAGAGAATGAAAACGTTTTCTTTTCGGAAGACTTACAAGCATATGAGAAGTGAAACGGATCATGCCGAGACGTCGGAGGAAGAAATGCAAGAATTGCCAGAGGACAGAGACGATGAGAAATATCATCTGCAAGTGCGGAAACATGTAACTCCAAAAATGAACATTGATGTTAGGATCTGAGAACTTTTGTTCAGGCAAAACACCATTGGAGCTAGGGTTGAGAGGTACGATGTCACAGATCATGGATCCTTGTCTCCATGTGTCTCTCAGGTAAATGGTCTTATTATCTCCAAATTCTTCCATTGATGACAAACCCCTCCAACGATAAGAGAATTAAAAAAAAAAAAAAAAAGATTGCAGGAGCAATGTCGGAGATGGATTACAAAGATTCCTTTTTTTTTTATATGAATTTTATTTGACTTTTTTTTTTTAACCGTTTGGGTAACAGAATCGAAGGAACAACAAGTATTCCATCTGGGTTTTGAAAACCCTAAAAATAGTAATTTCGTAAATGGGCAAAAGTAGCCAACAAGAAACAGGTTTCGACGGCAACATATATCAAAAGTTTAAGTGTCTGATTAATGTTAGGGTTTAATTTTTTCTTTGACAGGTAACAACTTAAAATCTGCTAATTTACGGGTGATTGAGCCAGCTACAACAAACAAATCCCAAAGGTTAAGAAATAAGAATGAAGATTACAAACTAACGTCCGGCGACTACAATTTAAATTTAGACCATGCATGACTAGTATTCATCTCTGCTTCTTGCTCTCGTCCAATATATTTGATTAGGAGACGACTTTACATAAAATAATTGTATACAACCTTACCATTTTTTTATTTGTCTCCTACATTATTATTTTTTTTGTTCTTTTTGAATGTTACGATTGGTAAACTGTTGTTCGACTCCTCAAAACGCCTTGGTTTGCTTTATTTGCTACATATTTGATCTCTATATATGTATCATTACTTCATACTCCTTGGTTCATGAGAGATTAAAACACTTCGATATTAATTTATTGTCCGTGGTAGGAGAAAAAATTGTATGCTCTTTAACGTGAAGTTCGATAAAATCCAGTGGTTGGTCTCTCTTTACGGAACTAGTGCAACATGGTAAGAGTATTAGCAAGAGTTGTTAATACTGTTTGTATATGAATGTGACTAAACCAGTCGTATGGAGAGATTTAAATACTTGTACAGTTTTCGAAGTTCACCAAGTATACCACAAGAAAACAGCATTAATCACCCACCACTTCATAAACCAAACAACTTCTTTCAAAAATAAAAAAAAATGAATACACACGCACGCACAAGCAAAACTTAATATTACAAAATTGCAACTCATGCCAATGGCCACATTATTAACACTCCCTGTAAGAACCAATAATAGAAGTACGCGTATACACATGTGTGCATGTAAGCAGATAAAGAGGAATGAATGTAGACTATGTAGTAGCATTAAAGAAAACAAACAAAAAGGATTGGAATGTGACATATGCATATTATATATATGAGCTTGACAGTTATATATATGAATGTATATCCAAAGAATACACGAAGAAAAGGCCATGAAAAAACACACTAACACTTGACTTAGGTTTATCATTGTATAATTACATTGGGATTGACCTTCTTCGTTTATTTTAAGATATAGCTGACAAAGTCTTGTTAAGGTTTTATGCGGGGAAGGTATTAATTGGGGATGGTCCTTTTTGCTCTCTCGAGTTGACTTGCGAGTTAATCCTAATCACATCTCATACTTCTATTATTCCAGTTTCAAGCTAATGTTATTAATTCATACACATGACATATGCATTTAGAGGAAGAAAAGAGAAACATCATTCATGACGACAAAAACTTGTTAAGTCTAATGAATTGTTCTAGTGCATGTTGTCGCTTGCCTATATCTCATTCCATCAAAATGTTGATAGATAAAGATGCATTATTTATATCCTAATTCCTAACTGTATTGTACCATAAAACTCAGGATTTGGAAAAAAAATATTAGGTAACTGTTAAAGATTGGTATCTATGAAACGCCTAGACGTCAATCTAATTAAACATCTTTATAATTAATATCATGCATGTAAGCCAAATCAAAACCCTAAACTTTAAATAAAATTTATAACGATTTGGCCATCTATTATACTATAATAAATGTTTTCATCATTAAATATGTCTGTTCGATTTTAAAATCACTAATAAACTGCAAGATTCATGAATACCAACTTTTTTTTTTCTTTCAAATTTTAAACCAACTTTGTACATAATCTTTCCCAATTTAACATGTTTGATAAAATGAAGCGAAGAAATATTAAAATATGTGACACGTATTTGTTGGTGTGTGTGTTTTTTGTGTGAATGTATGTCACAACTCGCGAGTATTTTATATGGTAGAGGGTAGGGTGTCTTCTTCAAGGCATCTAGACTCTAGACCGTCTGGATATATATGAAACAAATATACCACAACGAAAATATAGAAGCAACAAAATCGAAAGAAAATTTAAGAAGAAAACTCAAACTAGATTCTTCATATATACATAATATGATGAATCAAGATGACCATCTTACAAGTAAAGGTGAAGGATCAATGTCTAGCTTCTCCGGGACGACCGCTACTTCTTCAAAACAAAACTACGTTAATAATACCGTGACGACGGCCGGGGTGAAATCATTGGAAGACGACGATGCTTCACTATCTCTTCTATACAATCTCTCTACCTTACAAGACAAAGTCCATCAGACCCAATCTCTGGTGAGCTTCTACATGATATCTACTAATAACATTAACCAATCTTCGGGGTCAACGTCTTTGGCAGTGGCTAACATCGGAAGTTTGGTTCAAGAAATCATCACGGCTGCTTCTTCCATGCTGTTCACTTGCCAACAACTCAACATCGGATCTAACAACAACAATGATAACGATCAAACCGCAGATCATGCAATGGTTTTGGAATTTTCCCGACAGGAAACCGAGCCAGGTCATAATTTTGTACAAGAATCGACCAACCTTTTTGGTGTTCAAGAAAGAGGGCAGATCTCGTTTCCTGACCAGAACCTTGAGTGGTTCGGCACCCAAACCCTAAACCCTAAAAAAGAATATCATCGTTCTAAACAAAGATCCGGGAACTACGAGATATTGGAGTTAGACGTAGCAGACCTACTAGCAAAATACACGCATTACTGCCAGATTTGTGGGAAAGGGTTTAAGAGAGACGCGAATCTAAGGATGCATATGAGAGCGCACGGGGATGAGTACAAGACACGGGAGGCGTTGATCAGCCCAATTAGCCAAGACAAGAAAGGAGACTACTCGTTAAAGAAACATTACTACTCGTGCCCTCAACAAGGGTGTAGATGGAACCAGAGGCACGAGAAGTTTCAGCCGTTGAAATCTGTGATCTGCGCCAAGAATCATTACAAGAGGAGTCATTGTCCTAAAATGTACATGTGCAGGAGATGCAGCGTGAAACATTTCTCGGTTCTGTCTGATCTTAGGACGCACGAGAAGCATTGTGGGGATATAAAATGGGTTTGCTCTTGTGGTACTAGATTCTCTAGGAAAGACAAGCTTATGAGCCACGTTTCTTTGTTCTTGGGCCACGTACCGGCACATGGGTCGTCAGCTCCGACGACCACCATAAAGAGATCATAGGAAACTAAGGAAAGTACGAAAAGAGATGATTTGTGCATTCAAACTCTTTTCTTTTTCATTTTCTTTTTTTCACGAGTTTCTATATATATCCTCTTAAGTTTAATGTCAAAGAGATAAAATATTCAAAGACGTATCACAGTAACTGCTTGTGCACTAACGTTAATGTTATAAAAGATTTTGGTTCCAATGGGAACGTAATTATAATGCATAGGGTAGAATAATCTATTAGATTTTTACTCATCACACAAAAATTTGTAGTCAAGATTTATGTTTAGCTCTTCTTCCATTCCTCAAGATTAGTGAGCAAAGAACAATTCTTGGGTTCACCCCTAGGGGTGAACCTATCTCATTCACCCCCTCTAAGCTAACCAATCAAAATTAGCCATGTCATCTAATTAAATGAATTAAAATAATTTATCTTATTAATTACAAACTTTAAATTTTAACCACTATATTATTAACCTAAACTTAAATATAATTTAGTTTATTTATAAAATCTAAACCCTAAAGTACTAATTTATCAACCCAAACCAAAATATAATCTTGTTTAATTACAAAATCTAAACCATAACCACTATTTTGTCAACCCAAACCAAAATATAATTTCGTTTAATTACAAAATCTAAACCCTAACTACTATTTTATCAACCCAAACCGAAATATAATTTTGTTTATTTAGAAAATATAAACCCTAACCACTATTTATAAACCCAAACAAAAAAATAAATTCATCTATTTATAAAATCTAAACCCTAACCATTATTTTATAAACCCAAACCAAATAAAATTTCCTAAATAAAAATCCTACAGAATTTGTTTCCTTAATTTGTTTTATTTTATGATTTTAATTTTGATTTATTTTTTAAATAGAAAATGACATGGCACGTTATTATATTTTGATTGGTTAATTAAGAGGGGTGAATGAGATAGGTTCACCCCTAGGGGTGAACCCAAGAATTTTTCGTGAGGAAAATACTATACATAATATACACACATAAATGAAAAATCAGTTCGTCTAATTTGTACATGTATTCCATAAAAATAGATACTAGCAAAAAGTTAGAAACTGAAACTCTGTTAAAAAAAGATAAATTAATCGACAATGTAGATATTCGATTAATTATTTCAAAGGTTAAAATTATTCAACGTTGCATTTATAGAAGTTCGAAAAATTCACGTATACCTTTGAAAATTGAAAATAATAAACGAGAGTTGGTAATTTTTAATCTAAAAACATCGAAATATAGTATCAATCGCAGCCGTCCATTGCTTGGACAGATCCAAAATAGCCAAGTCAGCAATCCACGCCAAATAATTTTTTCCCTCTTTAGAAATGGGAAACTCAACATTGCCGCCACGTCAACTTATGGCGGTTAGCTAAAACCGGCGATCGAAATATTTCGAAATTTCTATAATCACTCGCGCATTAAACTTAAAGTAGATATAAACCATCCATTCATTAATACCCCACATCGAACAGTAACTATATGGCCACGTCACCGATCTGCATATCAGTATCTCAACCAATCAGAACTCTCTCTATTCACATATAAATAAACAAGACTTGGAGGATCGAAGAATCATAACAACAACCAAAATCACAACAGCAAAATCTTGAGAAGCTTTTCTAAGCATTTGAAAAATGGCGAAGGCAGATAAGAAACCAGCAGAGAAGAAACCGGCGGAGAAAAGTCCGGCAGAAACCGCGGCGGCGGCAGAGAAGAAACCAAAAGCCGGCAAGAAACTCCCCAAGGAACCAGCAGTCGCTGGAGACAAGAAGAAGAAGAGATCCAAGAAGAACGTCGAGACCTACAAGATCTACATCTTCAAGGTGCTGAAACAAGTTCACCCAGATATCGGAATCTCGAGCAAGGCCATGGGGATCATGAACAGTTTCATCAACGATATCTTCGAGAAGCTTGCTGGTGAGTCTTCGAAGCTTGCGAGGTACAACAAGAAGCCGACGATTACTTCCCGGGAGATTCAGACGGCGGTGAGACTTGTGTTGCCTGGAGAGTTGGCTAAGCACGCTGTTTCTGAAGGGACTAAGGCGGTGACCAAGTTTACAAGTTCTTAGATTTGGCTTATGTAATGTGGGGAGGAGGAACTAGTAGTTATCTGAATATGAATTAGGATTTTATGCTTTTGGGTACTTTTATGGATATGTAATTTGGGATTTTCTAGTTTCTAACTATGGCATTGTTATGAATTTCTACTTATCTTTGCAATGTTTTGTCTTCAATTTCAATTTTAAAGAACCAATCTCTTATAAGACGTCTCAGTTCATAAGTTTAAGGCATTGATTATAGCAGTTTTGTTTTGGGAAGATGCTTCAAATTGAAACTTGGCGTAAAGTTGAGATTTCTAAGCAAATTCATGGATACAAGAATTCTAAGAAAATTATAATGAAGTTTAGTGATTCTTGATACATCACTTAGAATTTTCGACAATACAAAATCAATTTCTTAAGTTGCTTATGAAATCTGTTTCTTCAATGGTTACATAAAGCATAGCGAAATTACATGGAGCTAGAGCACAAACGTCAAAAACGATATCGTTTGTCTGGGAATAAGATATGTGAATGTGTGTATACCTGCCTCACATTGAAAACTCCTGCTTTCATTGATGGGATCATTTCTTTGGATAAGTTCGATGATCAGGTCCAACATCGCGTGAGCCTGTGTTTATGTAAGGTCCTCTAAAAGTTGCTTGAGGAGGTAATGGTTTTGTTGAATCAATCACTGGTTTTTTCGATGATCTGCAGCAACCAAAAGAGAGAGGCAAAAAGAGAACTATCATACCACAAGATCAGAGACGATCTAACAAAAATTGAGAAAGAGAGAGAGAGGGGCAAAAAGGGTTCTTACGCCATGTAAAATGGGAACGCTAACCCTGCAGACGCGAAAACAACCAGACCAGTGGCTACAATGATGTTACGTGATGGCGCCATCGTAATCTTGTGGGACTTTGCAATCCAAACCAATAAACATGAAGCTGGAATCAGTCTTAAGACCATAAGAAAGAGAAACAGGAAGAGATAACAAAGTTCAAATGTAACTCAAACGCTGAGAATACCTTATGCTTATAGCATAAAATGCAACAAAACTATAACATATGCAAAATTCATGTGTCAACAACAAGCTCTTCATAATCAATTTACATGAGACTTAACTTGCTCGATTATCACAGCAAAGCTTTGCAACATGAGTTCCAAACACTACCTAAGGTAAACTGATCAATCAATCCTCAGTTGATGAATTCAAGATGCACAAGTCAGAGAATCAGATATTTCCAAGAACCTCCATGAGTAATTCTAATTCATTTTCACAGATGATTTGCCGAATTTTTTTTTTCTTTTTCATCAGAGTGAATCCTATATATTACACGAAAAAGCCTTGAAAATCCAGTATTATCGACAAAGGTCACGCATTTCTACAATAAACAACCCAATTCGAACTCAAACTACTCGGTCGAGATGTTCAGAAACAAAGATCTGAAATTCCTGAAACCCAAAAATCCAGATATTGAAATATGAATTTCAACCAATCAATTCGAACAAAATCTGTCAAAATACCGAATCTGAACGAAGACCGTAATGCAATATTTTAAATTTCATAATCACGAAAGAACCAAGTCGCGATACAAAAGAAGAGAGTAACTCACTTGGGATATGAGGAAGCCGAGTCGACTCAGTGAAACATTTTGGGGGATTCGGGTTTGGTGCACCGAGTCCCGGAGGTGTATGAACCGGCGATTAGGACGTGACGATCTGGGAAATTGATATTGGGCTATAGACAACTTAAATGGGCCTTATCCGTAAAACTTTAGCTTATGGAACCTTTGGGATAAAGACTAGAACACCCCAAATCTTTCAGGTTAGCCCATGTTTCTTTTATTTATTTTGTATAGCTTTAAATTATTAACTTTCGACAAAAAAAAATCTTTAAATTATTAACCCAAATAGGCAAAAATCATTATTGTAGATTTACGATCGTAATTCATATCCCCTAATTAGAAGAATCCAATTACCAAACCCAAGCCCTGTATCAATGAAGAGAAAGAGTAATATACTAAGTAGTAAGTACGATACCTTAACTATTACAGCCAATATTTTATTCACTTATGTTTTTTTTTTTTTGGTTTTTATCATATTACAACCAATGAACTTTTAAATCGATATTTTAAGTTCTTTTAGATCCTTTTGATAGGTGCGAATCCAAGATCCAATGATCTGAACTTCTTTCTCACGTTGCTCCACGAGCCAGTCCGGGTCATCCTTGCGCTTCAAGGTAATATCCATACAATGAGACCCTGATCAATGTATATATTGTAAAAATATATATCCAACATTAGTGAAAGAGTTCATGTATCTCTTGGATAAACACTCAATTAACAAAGTAAAATCATGTCTAGCTAATAAATTACCGTTATTTGTCGTAATGGCAACAACCGTGTCCGAGATATTTTCCAATACGCTGAAATATATGGACAACAAAAAATGCTCATAAATTTCGCACGCACTTTTTAAAAGAATTAATATTTTTAAAAAATTACCTGCCGACACTATAAGGATCTAATAATCCGTTGGAGAATATAATGTTGTTGCCAAATCTTCGAAATATTAACTTAACGTCCTATAAAATATAAATAGATCGATGTATTCATTAATACTTGAATTTTTTTATTGATAAGATAGATATTGAACATTAATTATGGAATTGTAAAGACCCGTACCTGAGTACCGTAGTGAGATGTTATCCAGTGCGGACGAGGTATAACCCCGTAATTTGATTGGCAGTCTTCACTATAACTAGTCATGTTGTACGGGCGGGTTTGAAACATTGAGTCCTCTTCGTTATACCCTATGGGCATTACGATTTCACTGCAAACCTGTGTAATAATAGCGTGTGCATATTTAACTCATAAACTAGTTGGACGAGTTCGTCAGTGAAATAATAATGTACATACAATATTAGCTACTAGCTAGGTATAAGGTTATAATCTTTTTTTTTTTTTTTTTTTTGTGTGACAGAAATGTTTTACCTGCCATCCCCATGCCCTGTCACTGTTTGTGAGCTGATTAAAACCATAACAAGAAATATTTCCCGCATAAGCGACCACACCTGCGAGGAAGAAACTTTTATGAAACCTGATCATCAATTCATCAAGCCGAGCTATATCCCAAAGACCGGGAAGCAGCGTTTCTTTAAGCATAAGTTAATTATTAATAAATGTGGAAAAATAAAACATCACCTGCGAAGATCTGGTCTAGTAGATCTCTTGGTGGGGTGGTGTTAATCGCTTCGCACACGCTAGTAACCGTAGCGGAATATACATTGTTGTTGTATTGAGCTGTCCCGGCGTATACGTAACTTAAAAAACTTTTGAGTTCATAAGTGTCCTTCAAAGGACTAATGGATCAACCAAAAAAAAAAAGATAAATAATTTATTAAAATGATAGATTATTGCTCATACTTATATACGGTATATATCAAATTGGGTGGATGTTTTTTACTTGCAAAGCTTGATTTTTTTGCTGAGGATTGACAGACCGGCTGGTTTGGCTGCGATTATGTCTATTTCATCCCAAGATCGACGTATCTGGTCGTGACATTTCTTGCTCGTTTGCTTTAAAAAATATGTTTAAGAAAAATTAAGACTAGTAAATACTATATACATATATTGACAGTAATATTTTGAACTATTTTTTAGTTAATTACCTTGAAAACTTTGGTTACTATATAAAAGTAACCATGTTTTGGAAGTGTTTCTTCAAAATAGAGAAGAGGCGCTGAGGATGCTAAAGCCCCGAGTGCAATGTGTGGGTACTTTAGCTTGAACCAAGCTGCCAACACTTTTGAGTGTCGTGCCATGAAATGTGAAATAAAATTAAATAATTATTTGAAGCTTAATATCTTATCATCATGGTAAATTTAAATATCCATATATGGTGTTAATTAGATGAGGAATAACATTAGAGAAACATAATTGTGAAAATATCTTTACTCAATTTTAATCAACTGTACAACGAGTTCTTAAACACAAACAACTAAACTGAGTCTAAAGCTAAACCAACATTAATAACCAATATAGCTAAACCAAGATACGTAAACTCTAATATTGTTCTAATAGGAACATCAGAAAAAGAGAGATGAGTAGCGAAAGGTGCATTCCATATTATATTTAGATGTGAATTATTTTTATAGTAATCGATTATTAAAAATTATTATATATTTTTTCAAAACAAGTATATATACATACATATATGCATGGAATACAATCGGTTCCGCTATGTATAGTACGTAGTAGGAAACTTACTTCCACCATAGGATCCTCCAATAACGATGACGGGACTATGGTGAGCTGAGTATGATTCCTTGATGTGAAGAAGTATCAGGGCATAGTCCGCAAGGGCTTGAGCTGTGTTTAAATAGCCCAAGGTTTTGGCAGTCTTCAACGTTTCCTCCGCCGACCCAAACGGCATTGTTTTCCCATAGAACCTATGCTGCTTGACATTGAAATTAACCGTTAAAAAATTATAGCGTTTCCATTTGTATATAGGCAGGGATATGCACACATGTACACCAACCTCTATGTAGACGATGAGGGCTTTGAAATGAGGAGCGTTATCTTCTATGAAGCCAATATTGCCCAAATCGCCGTCCATTGAAGATTCCGCTCCGAGATAAGCGAGGATGGGTGCATTGGATTTTCCACCTTCCCAATACTTGGAATTAACCGCATATCTTTGACGGAATCTCATGTTACTTTTCCGGAGTGTAGGTGAAGTGGTCTAGGGTTTGTTCAAAGAAGAACATTTGGATACCCATGTCCGCCAAGTTGTCGTCGGATTTCTCCGTGAGTATCTCAAATGCGTACCTCATTAGTCGCATCTTCCCTAACCCGTTCTCATCACTCGACAAGCCAACTCCTCCAATAGAAATGAAGCTCACCGAAAACCATTGAACTACAAGGCACTGGACAACGAGAGAGCATATTCCCATCACAATCCCAACACAGAGATCGATGAATGAAGTCTAAACTGGAGGATAAATAATTATCGTATGATGATCCAAGAAAGGATATCGTTGAGTTGATTAAATATTCTAACCCATTTATCAACCCCCTCTATATATATTACACTTTACACAGTATTCATTGATCATATGCATGTGACATGAATCTATAAAAAGCCAGACACAAATAAAAGACTTTATTCTACCATTAGATATTGATTAGATCGTGTAGCTTCACACCAAAGAAAGCTTGTTTCATTCTCTTTATTTGTTCTGATAACTGCACCTTCAATGATAATGACCCATAAACCCACTAGACTATGAATCTAACATCTTAAAAGTGACTGGTAATTAGTAAGATACGTATAATGTAAACAAATATTTATATATATTTCTAATAAATGTTTATCATATATATATTCATATCAAAGAGATAAACTAGTGGGATATATGTAGGCATGTCAATTAGGGCTAAAGCCCGCGAGCTAGTTCGGCCCGGCCCTAAAAAACATCGGGCTCGGGCTTAAATATATATGTCCAGAAAAAACCGGGCCTTTTGGGCTAAGCCCATTCGGGTTAAAGGGTTTTATGGGCTTAACCCGGTCGGGCTCGGGCTGGCCCGAAAAGCCCTTAAATAAATATATTTTTATTTTTGTAAATATTGTAGTTTGAATAGAAGATTTAATTAATGAATTAATTTTTCATATTTACTTACTAGCCTTACTTAATACTTTTAAAATCATTATCTATCATATTTTCTATTATTTATATATGTCAAAACTGAACAAAGCTAAAATTATATATAGATATTGACTCTACCATCTACTTTAAAGTATTTCAGTTCCATGTTTTATTGGGTTAAAGTGTAAATAATTTATTTAGTCTTCAATTTTTCTCTTAAATTAAGTTAGTTTTAATGAATATTGATAAGTTATTTAAATTTTGATACATTATTTTTATAGTATACTTTTAAATATTGTTTTTTAAAAACTATTATGAACTTATAAATTAATTTTTTATCGTTAGCTAAAACCCAAAAAAACCCGAAAAACCCTGTAGCCCTGTTAGGACCGGGCCGGGCTTTGAAATATAGGCCCGCATATTTTTCGGGCCGGGCCGGGCCGGGCTCAAATATATGAGGGCTTTACGGGTTTTGGGCTGGGGCGGGCCGGGCTAGCCCGATTGACATGCCTAGATATATGTTAGGTATAACTTACAAATCAAAGGTTACTTAATCTAATTCTTACCACTCACTTTATTCAAAAGTGAGCCTATTAAAAACCTACAAACTTTTTCATCGATAAAATTTGATCTGTTGTTAACCACCAAAGTGGGGTTTACTGAATTAGCAAAAACAGAAGGACCATTTGCTTAGTCAGAAACGATTCTTGTCATAACAAAATACTTTGTGGGTTAATGCAGTAGCGAAAATGATCTGTTTATCGAAAAATGTTGATCATGACCTGTCAATCTGTGATCATAATTAGAGAGTCCTAAATCACTAATCCTGAATAGTCATAATGGCCTATTGATATTTTGAAATATTTATCTACAGAGATGAAGAGAAATTACCCAAACTTGCCACAATCATGACGATCTTGTCCATATACATATAAATAAATAAATATATATATATATATATATATGTATATGTATATATGACTTATTATTTTGTTTACTATAATATTATACAGAACTAGGTACTAACCAGGTAAACCGTGTGCCAAACTTTTTAATTTAATATAAATTTGTAATAATTTATTTTGTTATTATTTAATTGAATATTTATGTATCCCGTATTTGTGTTTGTATATCCAAACAAACAATATATTGGTTTGATTATTTTATGATTTTATATATTTAATTTATTTGATTATTATTTTAAATATCTTTTATTACTTTCAGTTGTTCTTTTAAAATTTTTTTTAATGACATATCAATGTAAATTCTTACCATTTATAAGGTTTATTTTATTTTTTTACTTTTCAATTAATATAGTAGGATATCCAAACAAACAATATATTTGTTTGATTATTTTATGATTTTATTTATAGTTTATTGATTATTTTGTGATTTTATATATTTATTTTGTTTGATTATTTGTTTAATTATCTTTTATTACCTTCAGTTGTTTAAAAAAAAAAAACCTTTTAATGGCATATCAATGTAAATTCTTACAATTTATAAGGTTAATTTTATTTTTTACTTCTTAATTAATATAGTAGGATTAATTGTATTCAAGTCAAACGGTAAAAACCAGCCAAATTAGTAAATGTATTATACATTTCTAGCATAAATTATTTAATTCTATTATATATTTATTTATTACCATTAAATTATTAGGATATTTCAAAATCATAAAATTACATTGTTTTCCATGTTAGAGATATTGCAATTAAAACAAAAGTTACAAAAATAATAATAGTCAACTAGTCAAGTCAAACCAACAAAACTTATAAATGCAATATGATATCTTTCCTTCAGAAGATGTACCTATATAGATGTGTGTGTGTGTCTATAACACAAAACATATACTAGCAAACAATAAACATTACTTAAAAAAATAATCAAATCTCACGAAATAAACTTGTAAAAGAATGACTCAAAAATTGTGTATGATGATTATGATGGCATTGATAATGGTAGGATGTCATCTAAAAGCATGCAATGGAATGGAGAACTTGTCAAAGGAAGACCCTCACTCACCGTATGTGTCATGCATTCACATAAAAAAATTTAATTTTATTATATTTCATTTTTAACAAATTAGTGAACTAATTTCGAATTAAATATGTGTTGATAGATAGAAGACTTTATATATGTGTCATGTGTGTGTGTGTAATTTAACATATAATTTAACATATATGTTGTTATGATTTGTGGATGTATGCAGGATTGAAATAACAATTCAGCAACGTCAAATAGTTCCAGACCCAGTATGCATATGGCACTGTCAAATCAAATGTGGCGATAACATAGATTGTGCACAAAAGTGTCGTAGGAATTGTTGAACCCCAGTTCCTCAACACTAACGTACTATTTCGATGTATCAAGGAGTATCTCTTTTCAATTAAAAAAAAAAAAATTAATAATACCCGGGAGCTGAAATATTTTATAATTGCTAATTTGTTTTAATTTGATATTTATTTATTTAAATTTATTTTTATTTTATTTTGTTATAAACCATTATCGATAACTTTTTTAAAAAACACTAGGGATGAACCCGCACGTACGTGCGTGATTGGTTGCAAAAACTATGTTTATCACAAAGTTTCTAATATTTTAATCGACATAATATAAGACTCGGATCGAGTGTAAACTGAATGACTGATAAATTAGAAATCAATTAAATTTGTGAACTATCACATCACATAAACTAATGAAAAACATTAAAACTTTTGAATAAAATAACATAAATATAGATATCAGGACAGTCAAACCCGTTCACTATGCATGTTCTACAACAAATTGAAATATTTTGGTCCACCCACATGAATAAATAGTATGTCTTCATCTTGCCCGTTACCCATAATTCCCTTTTGTATATTATTAGAATTAGTTAAGATAATAATTTTTTATTTTATAAATTACCCGTTCCCTTTCCGTTATTTCTTGTCCCAATATTTGAAATTTTTAAGTGAAACTTACTTTTGATATTAAAATTTCATATTCTTGTATCATACCCGTCATTTGATATTTGAAAGTTAAAATTAAATTTAAGTTTCCAAATTTTTCGTATAGGCTTGTTTTTGATGAGAAATAGTTTAGATATTTTTTTTTTTTGAATTACCCATTCCCTTTTTGTTCCCGTTCGTTCTCTCTAAGATAATATCATATTTTTTTTATATATAAATGAAATAATTTACATTTTAAAAAAAAACCAACATTATATAGCTTGTATTTAACTAATTAAATTACTCGTTCTCTTTCTGTATTCGTTATTTCTTGTCCCGATATTTGAAATATTTAAGTAATTTGAAACTTACTTTTGCTATTTAAATTTCATATTCATGTATGATACCCGTCATTTGATATTTAAAAGTTGAACTTGAATTTAAGTTTCCAAATTTTTTATATCATCTTGTTTCTGATGAGAAATAGTTATATAATTCTTTTTTTTGAATTAACCGTTTCTTTTTG